ACCTCGCAGGAGTGGTTGATAAAGCGGGCAGCGTTTCCGCACATGGTGGCATCGACAACGTAAGTACCATCAACACGGAACATATAACAGCCAATACCCTGAAAAATAAAACAAATTAGTGGTGATGGATCGACAGGCAGTTGGATCTTTGATCCTAACTAATACATAGCGACTAACTGAAAAACTGCCAATTCTCTGGAGTTAACTTCTAGTATTACAAGAAGTTTCTAGATCTAATAAAAGGCTCTACCCAAGAGCTTCCCAAATAGGCTTCAGTTTCCGAGAATAAACAAGTCATCGAGCGGAAAAACCTCCCACAGTCAATCAGGGTAGCCACACCCGCAAAGTGCGCCAAAAGCAAGTTTAAGTCTGTTGTTTGCCTGCTCGATTATAGACTCACGCTTTAAGAAGCCTGCGCAGAAGGCGCACGAAAAATCAATATGAAGCACAAGCAAAAGCTGTGGCAAAGAGCAAGGGGGATGCGTGCCAGAAGAAAAATCTACCTCTCACCTCGAGCGTGTCGTCCTCTCTCGCACGCATACCTTGCCGCGTGCCCATATTTTTTTGTTCGCCTGTTACGCAGGCTCATCTTAAAAATACTCGCTTTTTTGAACGCGCACCTCGAGAAAGTAATCCTCACAAACAATGTGATAAATTCATTACCATTGCCAGCATAACGCGAAAGATTCTGCCACAAGTTGTTAAAGATCATACCTTGCTCTCGTAGTATTTCTCCCGTTTGTCCGTAAGAACGGACCGCACCAACATTCCAGAATACTCGATCACCATCTCGCCCGCAGCGATGTTACGAGTACAATATAAACCACGGCCGTGGATGGGAGATCTGGATTGAAAGAAAATTAAAATCAGATAGAAACGAATAAGAGAGCACATTTACTCTGCCACCACAGTTAATTAATCAGTGACAGGTTTGAACCCTGGAGTCATCTCACAAATAGGTAGCCGATATGATCGTCTAGGTGAGCGTAGTCCTAAGTGGGGCTGTTGTTGACAGCGACTTACGTTTCGACAACGACTGCAGTAATCCGCATCTTCAGAGTCAAAGTGATGTTGTGTCACGTCAGTTGATGGCATCAAACTCTAGTTATTGATCCGATTGGTCGATTGGTAATAAAACCAAATTTGGGGGCAAATTGTAATAACCAAACTGAAAATCGACCTCATCTATCAGTAACAGTTTTCATATCCTTTACTACAGCTTGCAGCTGTACAACATTTGTTTGCCCGTATCTGTTTTCTGCTTTCTTCGTCTGCCGCTTTGGTTTGCTACACAAAGGCTAGAGCCTCGCTTACAAATAAGTTTTTTTTCAGGAATCGGGGATTTCTTTATTATTTAACTAGAGGCATCCGTGGAAGTTGAGGAATTAAACGGCCGGTTCTATTGAAGAGCAAGCTCTCCATTTAGGGGAGCCGCGAGAAGTCACACGAGAGCAGCACGCAAAAGCACACGCGAATGAGAGGGGCACTCGCACGTTCTCTGGCGGCTCTCTCGCTCGCCATAAATGGACAGATTTCTCGCAGCTTATAGCACGGTAAAACACACACCTGTAGACAGCAACGGCATCCTTGTTGAATTGACACTGTTTAAGGTGGCGGTACCTCATGGCCATTGGAAGGTCAAGGCAGGTTGGACGTCTGCAAAGTAAGTTGTTCGATCATTATACGTTTCGGGGAAACTGCCCACCTACCCCTCCCCTAAGCCAACCTTTTGAAGTGAGAAGTAAGAGTTGATGTTGGCTAAGGGGAGGTGTGGTTGGCAAGTTTCCCAGAAACGTATAATGATCCAATTGTTCAAACCAAAATGACTTTAGTCGCAAATCCTAATTGGAGCCACAAATGACAAAGTTAACATTTCGCTTAAACTTTTATTGAAATATCTAGGTGTAAATCTGTATTTTGGAGTAAATTGTAGCCACCGTCATGTTCATCTGTATTTCTTCTTTTGAGTACAAATGATAGACGCCCAGATTTCAATAACAACAACTGCCACTCCAACAGAGGGTGGTCTGCCTGTGATAATACAAAGTGGCGCTTTGTTGGCGCATGCGCTCTTGTTCGCTTAAGAGCAGTAGCGACAGACATTTCCCTTCTCCCTAACTCCCTTAAAGGTGTGGATGTCTATCTTTGATTAATAAAATATAACACTAGCACAGAACAGCAAGCAATTTTTCTTTCTTGAAAGGACATGTTCTTCCAAGACACCACTTTGGTTGGGTAGAGCCAAGTGTGGTTGGACTAAAAAAGGGACGCAAACAGCATCTTAAACGAAAATTAACTTCGTAGACGCGGAATTCGCACATCGACTGATTACTGCCATCTCTGCGGTAATCTCTGCTCGAAGAATTCCGCTGCCCAAAATAGTGTAAGCGTCTTTAACGTTCTGTGGTTTATTCAGAGCATACATACTTAACAGTAAGCGGCCCATCTCGAGTCTGTTCTGCATTCTCTTGCTCCTCTGAACCTTCTTCCAACTGAGGAGGTACACGATGAACTGACGCCAAGAAGGCAAACATGTCGTACTTTTTGGATCTAAAAGGAACACAAGTGGAAAGGATTGGAATGAGTAATAAGGACTATGGATAGAGTTTAATAACGATTCTGAATCTGACGTGTAAAAAATTCGAATGAAAGCTACTGAGTAGTACTTCCCAAGGTGTTGATTACTATGCTATACAAGGTGGGTCTAACTTTAGGGATCACTATACGTTTGACACATCTCATCAAGAAAATTCTTATCATACTGAGAAACTGCCCACCTACCCCTCCCCTAAACCAACATTTTGCCCTAAGTGAGAAGTGAAACGTATAATGATTGAGTCTGTGGACCCAATCTTAGAGTGAGGCCATTGAAATGAAATCTACTGAGCAGTACTTTCCTGTGGTATGGATCGATTATGCTGTGGATCTAAGTTTTGAGTCTGTGGATGAAATTTAAAGTGTGAGCATTTAAATGAAAGCCTCATAGAATTTCTTTTCGGTAGTATCGTTTATCAAGCTGTACAAGGTGGTCCTAAGTTTGAGCCCGGCCGCGTGGAGTCTTTACAGGGCAGCCTGTAATTTCATACAGGGCCTCACTGAATATCACTCTTTGTGAAGTGAGCTCCCTGTATAAAGATTGTTATTATTATTATTATTATCTCGCAGTATAAAACTTTGGAATGCTGTCCAGGTTATGAGTAGTATAGGGCGCATAACGTAACCTACACCACTTGAGAAGCTACACTTAGAAGTAAAAAAAGGTCGGTGCGAAACCTAATACGATCCTAATAAACAAAACGATATGAATCTCTTTACTTAAAAAGCCAATTTAGAATATTATTAAATTCTTATACTCTGTAAAACCTACGCAAAGACATGATGATATAATTATCTCTACTAGAAGCCTGTTTAAAAAATTATTCATTATTATTATTATTATTATTATTATTATTATTATTATTATTATTATTATTATTATTATTATTATACGGTGCTGTTTGTCATCCTATAGGAGATGTTTCTAACTTCAAGTCTGTGAACGAACTTCTTAGCACTTTCACGAGATGGTGATGTAGCGTTGTAATAGTGCTATAAGGAGTTCACTTATTTTGCTAACCTGTTAAACACCTCAGCTCTAGCACAACCATGCGGATTTTCTTTTAAGACCTGCGAAAAAGAAAAATTTAATATTATTTTAGTGTTAAATTGACTCAGAATCGACGAGAAAGACTTTTAGCCTCACCTGCTCAGCAGTTCCTTCTAAACTGCTTATGTCAAACGGTGGGTTATACTTGAAAGAGTACTGCTTGACTTGATGGGCCCCTGGTAACTGTTCCAACATGGACACGATCGATTCCTTTAAAACAGAAAAACAAGTCATCAAAATTGTTACTGACGGCAAACCGTTGAATAACAATAGTTATAATANAGCAGTTCCTTCTAAACTGCTTATGTCAAACGGTGGGTTATACTTGAAAGAGTACTGCTTGACTTGATGGGCCCCTGGTAACTGTTCCAACATGGACACGATCGATTCCTTTAAAACAGAAAAACAAGTCATCAAAATTGTTACTGACGGCAAACCGTTGAATAACAATAGTTATAATACTACATGAGAAATTTCTGCTATTTGATAGGCTTAGAGTAAGTAACTAATTAAAAAAACAAAACAAAAAACACATATGCTATGCTACAGTATCTTGCAATGGGTGTCCGACCGTCCTCTTGCCAAATATTCGAAATGGTCCCATTTTATGTTATGAAGGGATTTAAAACCCTCCCTAAATGAAAATGTCAGCAAGGAAAAACGTTACCTTTTGTAGCTTGCATGCTTTTTCTTTTACATGCAAATTTTCCTACCATGTCATCTTTTGTTTCTTTAATTAGTTACTGACAATATTTCACGTCATCTTCCCTCCTCCTTTCTTTTCCCATCGCGCTGCTAATCTATGGAATTTCCTCCCAACTATGATTGAAGCACAACCGCCTCGAGATTTTTTAGGAAATCTGTGCGAAACCTCGGTCTCCAGCGCACTAATTAATTCTTTTTTCAGTTTTGTGTATCTACAATTTTTGTAATTATTTATCATGTTTTGATATTTTATTGCATGCACGGCTTTATGGAAACCAGCGTCTTGTACTTGAAGAAACGTCGTGTTGAAATAAAGTGTCAGTCTTTCTGTCTGTCGGTCAGTATCGTCATCATCATCATCATCATCATCATCATCATCATCATCATCATCATCATCATCATCATCATCATCATCATCAACACCATCATCATCATCATCATCATCATCATTAATGACGTCATCCAAGACACTTACCTGGCGTACTCCAAACATTGCTTTTCCATTCACACCTGCAAAGTAACAATTCATAACCTGTCAGCAGCGAATACAAGGAATTATTTAAAAATGCGGAGCTGTGTTGGCGAAGCTGCGAAACACAACAGTTTGGTTTTATCAACTTAGTTTGCAGATCCTTTGAAGAAGAAACACTGAATTGCCCAGATATAGAAAGGTGGTACAGGTTAGATATTAAAGCAATCTTCAAAGAAAAGATATTATCACTTCCAAAAGATATATGTTGGTTTACTAAAATAAGCAATGCACGTTTTTTTCCGCTTACGACATGCCGGACACTTAATAAGAAAAACAAACCCTAACCGCTTCCCTAACAACAACAAAACAATACTAAGAACCTGCAAAGGGAACCAGCTTCAAACGTCGATCAATCCTTGCTTCCTGGACCATATCGAAAACCTGCTTCCAAGCGGCTGAGATTAAACACAATAGAAAAAAGTCAGAGTGTCATTGCGTACTAGAGAATAATTAAGGAAGAACGAAAAACTACTACTGTAGTATAGACCAGTTTTGAACAGCAAAACTAAGATAAATTAACTGACCAGTCACAACACGAACTAACAATAAAATGGACCAATCACATCTCGGAGCAATTATACGTAGCGGCTTCAAAGCGCGGGGAAAGAAAAACGCGTGTCAGCAGGTTATGGTAACACGACTGTTCTACCTTTTACTTCTGTTAAGAAACAGCTACAATATTATTTCAACCAATCTTAGAGCGTGGAGACCCGACGAAAAAAAGGGCAAAAACGCTTGTGAGCAAGTCACTATGATGTGAATGGTTTTTGCTTTTACTTCTAAATATCTTTTCTATTACAACATAACGCAACCGTGCTCTGATTGGCTAGACTTAAGGGCTATGTCAGAGCCTTTCTTTTGGCCTACGCGAGAAACGAGTAAAACCATCGCTGAGCATGCGCTTCATGCTGCGATACAATTTCGAATCCACACCATTCTCGTCCCCAGAGTCCGTCGTTTCATGGTCACGTGGTCTTGAAACACAAATTAAGCCGAGTGGCTCTGGGAACGAGAATGATCCACGCCTAGAAGCCGTGCGCTTGATTCAGTGGGCAGTTATGACCATCCGCTTGTCAATAAACAGATGCTCGCACTCGAAAAACCAGTTTGACCAAAAAAAGTAAGATTGACTGGTCCAGACGTTCGGGCTGCGGCGACTTCAAAGGCTTAACGCAGACTCCTTTTCTTCTCCTGGAACAAGGAGAAGACTGAAGGAGACTCGCAGGGCAGGGGAGGGGGGTAAGAAGGCTTCTACATCTTACCTTCACATGTATCAGCCTCTATCCTGAACCCTTCATCATTTGTGATAACGAAGTTGACGTAGAGTTCCTCCACGCTTGATACACTTGCACGGTCTCTTAGATTCGTTAACCAAGCATTAGAAGACTTATCTTTAACAGGCGAATTAGAAATTTCCGCATCAGCTGTTTTTGCGACAACTTCGTGATCGCAATTTAATTGTCTTACAGTCTGCGGAATACTCTCGTCGAGGCTAGAAGTTCTCTTAGCTACAGGAGGGCTTTTTCTAGTTCTATGAGCTGTTGGTGTCGATGTCGGGGTAGATTTTTGAGGAGGTTTCTGTGGTAGGCGGGCATATGCATTGCTTAAAATCCTTGGTATATGCTTGCTTTGCTGAGCTAAGTGCTGAAGCAGTTTACTCGGTGAGTTCGCCGGAGAAATTTGTAAAGCTGGCGGTTTTTGAGGAGCAGGAAGAATTCTTCGAAGTTTAGCTAAATGCGAATTTGCGTTTGAAGCGACCAAGCTTGCATCATTAAAGAGTACTCCAGGAAAAGTAGTGTGATTAATTAGCGACGGCCCAGGATGAGGAGCTATTTTTTTCAGTTTCTTTCCATAAGAACTGTTCAACAAATCATTGGATTTGTTGCTGACGCGAGGCTGAACTATGTCTTTAACATCTCCGTGCGATGATGGTAAGTGTTTAGTTGCCTTTTCCTTCTTTTTTATCTCTTCATGGGAAATAACTTTGTGTAAGTCTTGTAGGTCTTTTAACTCCCTTTCTTTTTCTGAGTGTGATTTCTTCGCAAATGTTTTCACTTTCTTCTCTTCAACTGTGCAATAATAACGGCACCGTTTGGTCGGATCCTTCACACTCCAGTATAGACGACTTACTCTGACAAACAACAACATCAACAAAGATAAGTAACAGCATACCTCATTCTTATTCACAGTACAGCAAAGTGGCTTCATAGCTCAGTTGGTAGAGCATCGCACCGGTAATCGCGAGGCCACGGGTTCAAACCCCGTTGAAGTCCTGAATTTTTTTCAGGCTTCTTTACGCAATTGCATAAATTGCGTTCACTGCGACGATCTTTTCTTCATTTTCAGTACCGTAAAACCCACATATAAAGACTACGCCTGAGCTATGGCCGAGCAGTTCCTTATTTTCCCCAGGGAACGCAAGGTGGGCGGAACACGCGAACGGCGTGAAAATCGCCACCTACGAGGAAGAAATGTCACATGCGTGTCACCTTCCTCGCGGGTAACAATTTTCACGCACACTCACATATTTCGCTTACTTAAGTATCCGTGAGCGAATTAACCACTCTTACATTGCCCATAACACATCTCAACCCACCACCCCCCCACCCATACACACACACAAAAAACGTCTTTTTGCATAAGCATTGGCTTCAATACCCAGAACTGGAACTGAGGAAAAATTGGTATGCTTTTTTTTGGCGGGGAGAGGTGAGCGGGAGAAGAAGGGAAAAGGTGTGAAAATAGCTAATGAGGGACTACTTGTTGTCCGACCTTCAAGAAGCTAGCGAAATAGAACCTGTAACCTAAACTTCTTACATTTAATTCCCAAATATATGAGAACCTACTGAGCCCCCAAAAAACGAGTCCCGTAGTCGGGGGGTGGGGGAAGTCTACAGACGGGTGTCTGTTCCCTTAGAATATAGCCTATAGTGCTTTCATTTTCAGGTACAATGGCGTTTTTCGCAAATTACGAAGGAACAACACCCGCGTGAGTTGTTTACTAACTCGCTCCCATAAGAAAATGAGCTCATTCTCTCTCGTTAGTTCCATAAAAGCGATGGAAAGTGTGTTTTCAAAGCCAATGAAAAAAAAGGTTTATTTACTATGAGTTTCGTAGCTCCAACATTTAAACTAAGAGACATTACCCGCTAAAAGCAACAAAAGCCACATGACCTGACTTTCATCGAGGTTTGCTAGCTCTTCGTAGTTCGGAGCACGATCATGCTCAACGCACTTTTGAAATGACTCCGGGGTTCAAACCTTCCAACATTTTAATTTAAATTTAGATATTCATGGTCATATTTATTAAAATATACAAACCTGTAATTAATGGGATATAACGCCTGTTTCGTGTCTGAATATTCGCTCAGTTTGCCCATGTTTTCCATAGTGAGGGAGCCTTTAGAGAAGAAATAAAGACAAAAACCTTCAGATTCTTGAAAACTCGTAATTTATTACAAGAATTTTAAGTAACCAAAGTGGCAAATGTAACCTTTCCTATAATTAGCACGCACGTTACCTTGCACAAGGTTAATAGAGCTTGGCTGGAAGCCTCTTGAAAATTTCTTAGTTGCTCGGATTTTGCTCATGTCCACGCAAACACGGCGCTCCACACAGAAATCATCATTTTCCATCAACAACTACAAAGAGAGGAAAGAGATATTTTAAATCGCAAGGCCCTCCAGGGTGCAAAGAAAGTCAGTTTTACAGCCTTCCATCCAGGAAAGCTGTAGCTAGCATGTACTCGCCCACAAGTCATTTCAACTAGCCCCAACACCCTTTTTGATTAGCAGGATTGATTACAATCCTTCTGTTATTTGAATTTCCCCCAAAAAACAGCACTTGCCTGTCAGGTAAGTTAAGAAGAAAAATCACTAGCCCAATAGCAAAATCCACTTTCTTTGCATGCTGCCCTCATAAGAAACAAAGTTCGCTATTTAGGTGTTTAGTCATACCTCGCAACTCAACTCGTTCCTCGCCCATGGCAGTAAAAAATATATATATATTTGCTTGGGGCGATTAACACACAGATTTTCCGCCGTTTTAAGGTACACGATCTGATCACGTGCGAGTCTAGAGATCCCTAGGGACCTGGTTAGTGAGTTTTATTCTCCCTAGGATTTAGGCTATGTTCATACTATACTGGATGCCTTAAAATTGGTGCAGCCACAAACAGCTATCAGGCATAGTGTCAACAGCAAGGCACAGAACCTAAATACGTTGTTCACACACAGGACATCGTGCCGGGGCGGTTGGCCAAGAGAGTTTGGTTAACTAAATCCCAGTCCTCACTCCTGAATATTTACTTCCGTCTTTGTGGACTCTCGTTCCTTAGCCTGTGTACAGACCCCTGCTCTCCTCTCCGATTTTTCCTTAGGGGAGGGAGGGGGGGGGGGGGGTCTGTACACAGGCTACTCGTTCCTATACTTATCCTCTTCCATTACGGTCCGAATACCTGTTCACAGTGCACCAAAGTGAGGCTTAAGGCAAAGAACCTATTCGATATCTGACACCCTACTTTTCGAGATCGGCGCGACGCAGCTTCGTTACAGAGATCGCGCTGAAATCACTGTTGTTACGTCTGAACAGAAGCCCTTAGACTTGCTACAAGTCGACCTCCTTAGACTTGCTCAAGTCGAGTTTCAATACATGACTGAGGTCGCGTTGCGACCGAGCGAGCGACGAAGTCTTGAGGTCGACTTTTTCGCCTAAATGGATTTGAACCATATTATAAATTTACGCGGGAAAAGAATGATTGACATATGCTGTGTCGGGAGCGGTATATGCTGTCCTATTAGTCAGTTGTCATGACGTCACCGGTAGAATTTTCGACCGGTGAATTTTGCGCCAAAAAGGTGTGAAAAGTCCTTCAAAATGTCATAACCAACGAGGAAGAAAAGGGACTTTTAGAAAGTCTAAGAAGACCTATCCGGAATGGTTTTCGTGCTGGCGTAGGAGATATTCAGTAACGTGTGAGCATAGCCTTAGAATCAAAACCTTCATTCAGAAATCAAGAAATCAGTGAATATCATCCATTCCACAAGAACCAACCTCTTTCTTTATCCTAAAGGAATGCTGGGCGCAGTAAACTTTCTTGTCATCTTGAAACTGAGCTTCCGCTTTTCTTGCACACATGAAGTGATAATTCATAGGACATCTAGGCTCACAACACCCCACAGTAGCTCCTACCTCTCCACAGTATTCGCATTTCTAAAAACAGAACAAATCAGTTAGCAAATGTCGCCACTTGCATGGGCCCAAACACAGGAACAACAGTACTTGTAATATTGGCGCAATACATACACTGTAACATGAACGTCCGGACACATAGAACAACACTGCTTTCAATATTGGGTGTAATACGTTTCACTCGACGTGGTTATGTTGTAGGTAAAATCTGTTCTCAGGTTTAACCACAATTTCCTTTGTCTCCTATGAATAACTAAGGCTAGGAAACAGGAAGTTTTAAATAAAACTAAGTTGAATACTGATTTAACCTGAAATCGATTTTAGCTACACGATGCAACACTTAGTGTAACAATAAGGCCCGGACACAACAATATTGCTTTATTGCGAGCAACATATTCCACTTACACGCGGCAATATTTTACACAGCATTTCGCACACTGCTTGCAATATTGGGCGCATTACGTTTGACTTGACGTGGCTACACAATAGGGCCATCTATACGAGGAAAAATACGACGCGTCTTACATAAGACGCGTCTTAAATAAGACGCAAACTATACCATTTATACGAGCATTTCTTACCTAATAAGACGCGTCTTAGCTAAGCCGCGTCTTATTTTAGACGAAATGTACCGTTTATACGGAAACTTCGCGTCTTATTTAAGACGCGTCTTATATAAGACGCGTCTTATTTTTCCTCGTTTAAATGGCCCTATTGCAACACTTGCATCGCCTCAAATCAAGGAATGGCGGGAACCACTTGATTTCCTACCGGAATTTCCGGATTTCCCATGTAAATGGTACAAGTGTAAATACCCCTGGAATACGTTACGACACCACAACAGCTTGGTCCCAAGATAAACAGAAACAGTCAGAAGCATTCTCACCATTTGTTTGCCTCTAGACAAAGCCGCTTGAACATTCTGCAATCGGCCCTCATCATCTTCAAACACTTCTGCAGACCAAAGGCCACAATTCACGTGCACCCACTCATCCAAACCACAGCAAATGAGGCGGCCAGGACCGGAGGGTTCAGCATCTCTTGCAAGACCACACAGAAGACAACGTCTGGTGTCCTCCTGAAAATTACGAACGAAGCTTAGGTAAAAGGATAGTGTTTAATGTCTTACTAATCTAGGTCATTAAGAAGTCATCCTCTCACGTGTAGGCCAATGTTTCATCCCGCGTGGGGTGAAAGTGAAACCTTGATTTTTACAACCATAAAATGCATTTGTTAGCCCTTTTGAACCTTTTTACAGACAGAAATGACAGATTTCCCTTCCTTTTCATATACTTCAACTAGTGAAATCCCTACCCTTTCATATACTTGAGGCCTGAAAAATGTACCCCTTTCGGGCGGGGTCTTCCCGTATAAGCCATTATAGGGGGTACTCCTCCCCCCGTTTGTTCTCTGGATAAATTGCTATCGGATAAAGCTTTTAGTTTATACGAAGGTTTATCCACTGGATAGTGATTTTTCTGGTAGATATTTAACAATTATTCCTTGAGCCCGAATGGGCTGTGAGTGAATATCCCATAAGGCCGAAGGCCAAATGGGCTATTGACTCAGAGGCCATGAGGGCAAGAGGAAAAATTGTTTTAGTAAAATCCAACTAGTTGGTCAAAAATATCCAGACAAAACAACTTTAGCTAGTTAAAGCAAAACTTTAATCCTTGTTTGCCCCCCAAAAGCCGGCGCTTTTCCCCACCAGTGGGCTATAACATATAGCCTAATAGTAGCTCAACCAATCAGAACGTAGCATTGATAATAGACCACTAGTTTGATTTTACCAAATGTCATTAGTGTTACCAGAAACTCATAAGGGGTTGAAACGTGTAACTCGCGTTCAAGTTTCTTTTGTACATTTTTTTGCCGTCACTGCACGATTACAACGTGAGAGTGCCTAATTTATCGTTTGGGAGAGCGACAACACAAGACAACGACTTTGTTTTTCTTTCCTGTACTTCGATACAGTCTTTAGAATCCACCTCCAGAAACATTTGCTAACATTTGTCGAATTGAACGAGATGGAACAGGCGCGATAAAGTTTTCACGAAGTCACTTTTTAAGCGACATTTTTGTAGCCGTCTACCTCGTTGTTGCAAGCTCCCTATTTTTTGAACTGTGACGGGCGCGTGGACTAAAATTACGTCACGTCTTTTACGAAGTTGGATTGGTCAGTTATCTTTTCTTCTCGTTCCAAATATAGCACTTGCGAAAACAAATGAGATTTACACGTTTCAACCCCTTGTGAGTTTCTGTATTTACCAAATCAACTTCCATAACATAGAATATCCCTGGCTATTCACTGTTTTTGGCTAGGGTCGAATCAAATGGTGTCTCCTAACATGATGGAAGAAACTGTCTGACTGTTAAGCCTGGGTGCAAAATTGGACGTAGTATCTGCTTTACCTCAATTAATGACTGCCTCTTTTCTTCACTGTTGCCGTCTAATTCCATTGGTTCTTCGTCCTTAACTGTTTTTTCTGCAATATTCTCATTGTCAATCTCCATCTTTTCTTCATTATCTGTAAATCGAAAGTACGGACAGTCTCTGAGCAAGTTTACTAGTGAAAAATTCACCTTTTAACAAAACCAAGCAACCAATTTACCACCCTCCCCAAAGTCTTCAAGCACCCATCATTTTCATACGGATATTCCCTCCCCTCCCCACCCCTCTCCCCACCCCCCACACACACACACACACCGGGGCCTAGTTTATGAAAAGTTGATTAGCACTAATCCAGGATTAAAATTTTGTTCAATTTTTGAATTTACCTTCCTACATATTTCTGGGAGAAACATTTTATGCTGGCATTACTGTATCTCAAATCTCAATATTAAGTATGTAAGCTCGAGGTACCTGCTCAAAGACAAGAAAACCTTGCTTAAAATTTGGCTTAATCCTGGGTTACACTAAACCATCCTTTGAGGAACTGGGCCCAGGCTGCTAATACAACTCAGTGTACCAGAAAGATGCATATATGTGTAAAACAATCCTACCTTTTGCTTCAGGGCAGTTGGATGTGGACTCAGGAGGGGGAGACTGGATTGTTATTGCAGGTTTAGGATCTGATTTTCTGTCGGAATCCTCCACACAGGCATAAGCATGATCCCAGCTATCAAAGCAAATACTGGGTCCAATGAATCCACTGCACAAGGTAAAATAGATGTGAATGAGAATCAAGGCAGTGAGGAGGCAGTTCACATTAGTGATAACTAAAATTTGCATGATTATTTTGTCACATTCCACAGGTCAGGAGTACAGGTCACTGCTCTATCGATGGATTACCAAGCCATGCAAATTCCCCTCATTTTAATAGAGCATTTTGTTAAGGGTTTAGGGCTACGAGAAACTTTTAATGTTATTTGTTTATCTGTATCATGATGACCTATACTCTGACCTGTGGAAAAGTGAGCTGCATTTTACACCAGCCGCTTCTTTTCTCTACTTCTTTTTACACCACACTGAGATAATGAAATTGCTGGGAGTCATATTTTCATTTCTCTTTGCAGTGTTTGATCTTGTGATGAAACACTGTCTCAAGTTAGATATAGGGGTATCTATTACTAAAAATGTAATTCCAGCTCTTGAGTCTCCAGAAAATTATGTGAGGCAAACTAAGCACTTACACAATTTTGATATTTTTATGCATCATCATGTGCTGGTGTTGTAGTTAATACTTTGTTTTCATTTTGAATTTGACTACATTTGAGGTCTAAGATCATAACTTTTTTAAGCTTACTTGGGAGGAAGCACTGGTTGATTCTCACTGGTCTCCTTATTATCCTTCAGTGTATGCCAAGGAAACATCAACGCCAGTTCCTGAGTTTTAAAATATAGAACAAAATAATAATGGTCGTAAATACATACATTGACAAGAACGATAAAAATAAACCAAAATTTCAAGCATCCACAACAAAACAATAGGGAACATTACAGAAAAACAATTTGCACCCTTGAATGATTTTGGAGTAATGCTTTTTTGTTTAGTTAATGTTTGTTTTCTCTTTGAGCTTTTCAGTTAACATCATAGTAATCTATGTCCAAAATAATCACCTTGCAAAATGATGCAAAAAGAGAAGACCATTGTTTTGTTAGTTCAAGATCAGCCTCTACAAGTCGATACACTTTGTCTAAAATTCCCCTCAAGTCATGGCAAAAGCTTTCCTGTAAGAGCAAACACAGTTGGGTTTATAAGATGTCAGTAAATTTTGTGAATATGCATCCTTGTCTCTCCAAAAGAATTACTGGTTACACTAACTTGGATTATGATGAAGTGAAACAGGAGTTTCAACATGAGAGTGAGTGCTGGCGTTTGAACTGGAAGAAGATACTAACAGTAAGAGCAACATGTGTGAAGAAGAAGGTAATGGGAAATGAGATTGCAAAAGCAATATAGCCAATAAAGAGCAGAGAAAGATTTAAAATTATTTTAGTTGTAAGCAAATTGCCTGGGAAGGTTAAGCATTCAAAAGTAGATGCATTCCTTGACTGTGTCAACTGCATGGTTAATAATGGATCTTTGACCCAATTTCTCTTCAACTCAGCAAAAAAACTAATTAACTAAAGTGTCTACAGGTCAGTCTCTCTAAATTCCTGCAACCTTTTTAGGCCAAAGGCATATTTTAAAATCAAGATCTAAAGAATCATCGTTAGAAATTAATTCAAGATTTCCCTGTACATGAAGAACATACATACCACAGTAATGTACTTTTTCTCTTTCACTTTTGCTGAAATACTGTCCAGATCTTTAGGATGTCCATTGTCCACTTGTAGCTGGAAGATGAAACATGAGTAGGCAAAGCACATTTCTTTTAGCAATGAAAGGCTCTGTAGGTAATGTTCTGAGACAATTATTTACAATAATAATTAGCGAGGCAATAACAATTATTATATCGTTTGGCATACCTGTTCAAAGTGAGACTGGAAAAGACTATAGGCCTCGCAAGATTTTATTTCTTCCAAAATCTAAGAAAAAGAAAGAAAATTAACAAATTAATTCAATCAAGGACAATGTGTACAACATCATCATCATCATCATCATCACTTTAAGCCCATTCAGTCAGGCTGCTCTGAACAGTGTTGTTATTCCAAGCATTCCACTCAAACATGGTCAAGATGGACCCTGTCGATTCCCGAATCCCTTGAGATCATATCTGGGAGTGTCATTTCCATTGGGTAATGTAACAAAACTTGACCTCCCTAAGTGTTGCTCCTTAACATGGTGAGAGATTTGTGTGCCTTGATGACCCTGGAACTGGCCCACCAGGTTGTGGGTTGAGCGATGGGTTAACGTCCTGTCCCCACATAAAAATTTATTATTACTGAAAACAAACAAAGGAGAGGTGTGGACGCCTTATGCATTATGGAGTGTGAAGAGGTGAGGAGGGTAAGGTCATGTAATAAAACTTGACTTCCAGTTGTTGGAAATAGATGGCATTGTGCCTTAGATAAGAAAGAAATCGATTGACTTTTAAATGGTAATTCTACTGCTGATTTTCAAATTAACGTTAGGGTGTTTCATCTTGTCCAGTTGTTTATTTTGCTATCAAATTGCTTGTGTTAGTTGCTGTATGTGTGTTTTATTGATGTTTGTTTTTCTTTTTATTCTTTTGCTTTTTTTATGTGCGTGTGTTCAATCATGACGTACATTTGCAGGGTTGTATATAAGAGCTGGTAGCCAGCGAAGTTCGCCGGCTTCTCTACAAGGCTTCGCTGGCTACTTTCATTACTTGTATAACTGGCTGACTTCAAACAAACTTTCTCTGAATATTAAAAAGTAATATTAAAAATATTGTTTACAAAAAAAAACTTGACTTTACCCGTTCATAACCAGCTTCCATCTCCTCCATGAGCTCTTTGTACCAGTTCAGCGTCTCCTGTTCTGAACAGCACTGCCTACAGATAAACTGTACTTCTTCTGGCAAGTCTGACAAACACTCGTACTGATCCAAGGTGATGCCTTGACACTCGGCATGCACCCAGTGATCACACTGAACACAGTGCACCATTTTAGATTCAAAGTCGTCATCAGAATAGCACTTGTCGCAAAGGGGGCAGAAGTTACCCTGTTGTCTTTGGAGGCCACAGTCTTGGCAATGTGTAAACTCCAGCATCCACAAGGCCTCAGGTTTCTAAAAGAAAATGTTGTCAGTGTCACTAAATTTGACTATACATGTATAAGGCTGTGTTTCTTCATAGAAAATCTAAGACTTAATTTAAAAAAAAGGGTTAGATAGGGTTCCTGCTATTCTGGTTGGAAATGGGCTGTTGTTTGACGTGATGCTTTTTTTCCTATATTTTTCCTTCCTTCACCTGATCTGGCTACACTTACATGTAATAGTGGTTAATCTCCCATAAGGTATTGGTTATATAGAATGATGATGATGTGAATGGTGGGATTATAGATCTCAATGAAGATAGGACCACCACATTGTTGTTGCAATTAACTTACAATAACCTGAGATCAGGCCCAATTTTAGCGGTTCTCATACAAGTCATTCTCCCCAACGGCTACTGCTAATATCGTTTCGCCGTGCCAGCCGGAATGTTATCACAAAGCGAAACAAAAATTGAGCCTCATCTCAGGTTAACTTGCAATTGTTTAAAAAGCAATTAAAACTGCAAAGGTCATATCTTCAATATTACATTTAAATTGGTAATGCAAACAATTTTCAAACTGATGGTTTAAATAAATGGCAATAAGCACACCAGCAGACTTCCAGCACAAGGGAAATTTCATTTCTCTCTCAGCAGAACACAACACTTATTATCTAATCCACAAAATAATTTAGTGGCAGTAAGCAGCTTACCTCTCCAGCAGTCCTCTTTCCACAATTCTTACACTGAACACAACGACCACATACCTAGTAAGAAACAAGACAAGATTTACAACAATGAAATTATTTAACACATTCTGCCTGAAATGCATAACAAGGTTAACTATCTGTATCATAAAGGTTACTTAAACCATCTACATTATAAGATCGCCAATCAGTGACAAAATTTAAGACACTTTGTCCTCAAAGACATTTCTTACATTACTATATATATACTTAAAAACAGAAAAGTGAAGGTTTCCCTACCACATCTACACATTACACGTTCCTATTTTGAACGAGTTTTTTAGCTCTTTGACGTAACGTGCACCTTACAGAGGCATATCCATCTTCAAGAGGTGTACACATGATAGGTATTTGCTGTAATGTTGGTGACTTAAGTTTGAATTTTACAACAAAAAGAACCACTTACCCACACATCATCTTCTCCTTCTGGTTCTGTGGGGTAATGAGGACCAATACATTCCACATGATAACCCCGCTGGCAGCGATCACACATCAGAAGCTGAGAATTAAGCAGTCAGAGAATGTTTGTTGAAATGATTGAATCATTTAATAACAATATCTAAAGGAACTCTCAGAGATTTTCATTCTCGTGGGAGCTCGTGGGCATCCTGACAGGATTTGCTATCCTTGCAGAAGAAGTTGACAGTTAGAAATGCAGAGTATGTATTTCAGGTAGTTTCCCAATGGCTGTTTTTTTCACTAGCAACAGAGTCATAATCGATGGAATCACATTTGCAAGAAACAGATTAAAGTTTCCACTCTTTTCTGACTCCACTGATAACTCTACTGTAGCTAACAATCTATTAACGACAGGATTGACAGAGTCAAAATATGAAGAGAAAGACTAAACCTTATTACATTATTTTGCTCATTTCCAAAACCTTGACCTTGTGATTAGCTAAGTTCTTCTGATTGTGACTATCAAAAGTCTAGTCTAGTAAAGCCACTTTATATTTCAGGAAAAACAAACAAAAAAAGAAAAATAGAACATGAGTGGAGGACAAAAGAAACTGTCCTATTACTTTACCTTGTCCTGATATCCACAAACAGAACAGCTGCTGCAGTTATCGCAGCACCATGTGCTCTCATCTATTGGAGTCTCGTCAAGACAAAACCCATGAAAAGGTTCAGCACAAACTCTGCAGTAATACATCTACAACAAGAAAAAACAAGAATGTGACTCTCCTAGACTGGCTGAAATGTAAATGACAGAAAAAAAAAGCTGACTTTTACGCAAAATAATCAGTCCACAGTGACATAAGACTTTAGTGGCTTTTATTTGAACAGTCATACTAGAGTATTTTCATTTACAAGTTCACAAGTTAAAATAACCTTGTGCAACATAGTTAAAAATACAGTGGGGATGTTTTGATGGAAATGTTAATAGTATGGATTTTAAAAGTTCACCAGGGCTAAGTTGTTCATAGGCAGATTAGTGCTTAAATGGCATTAAATTTGAATCTGGGTTTCTTTTCCTGTCATTTTAAAGCTTTTTTCTCAGATAATTTTCCCTATTCTTTTTAGAACATCCAATCACCAAATTATAGACCAAAAGAATTCAACTGAATTTGCTTATTAAGAAAATTTCACACTAACCCTGGGTTATCTTAAGCCAGCTTCAAACAATCTGGCCCAGGTTCATAACTTATCATTATCTCTTCATGAATGCATATAATTCTAAAAATCTCTTACACAGATTAACAGAGCATTTTTCTCACACCTTTTCTGTGCCCTTGCTGCCACAAAGAAAACAGAGTTCCTTTATTGCACTAGGGACACCAGCAGTAAAACAAATTCCAAATCCTTCCTTCCAGATCTCCTCCTCAGTACTGTTATCCTAATAAATGATAAAAATATACTGTTATTCTTTTACCATCCTAGATTTCATATACCTAGATCCCCAGGCCCTTTCAACTTGACTGTTCACTTCTTCACTCTACAAAATGTCACCTTTGCAGTTTGCCTTTGCCATAGGGTCTCATTTGGTATAGGTCATGTTTAAGCAAACCTATCTTGTACTTCTTCAAAGGTGATTCTGCATCAAAGTATTGCAAAGTGCCAGTCAAAAAATATGGCTTACACTTTCCCAAAGGTACCCTGCCATGTACAAGACTGTCACAAGCTCCCAGTTAGAGTTTTTCACAATCCTATAGGTTTGTTCAATCAATTGTACTCTTAACATGTATGTTATTTTGAGTGCCCAAGGCTGTGCTCTAAAAAAATTGAAATCCAGGGTGTCTAGCATTATGGTTCTATGAAAAAAGAACTAAGATTTTCTTCTGGCCCAGGAGCAAAAGTTAGGCACCAAGAGTTGCTGGGTTCCACCAGAGCACAGCCTTAGTGTCACAAACCTGCTAAATCTGAAGCCAAGTGCTCCGATTCCGCCATAAACAAAGAATTAATTTTAAAGTTTTTACAAGATCACAATCCCAGGTGTGTGTTATTATTATCCCTGGTATCCCCTGCACACCTCAGCAGACAATGAACTAATGGATCTGTTTAAGCATCTTTAATGAGCAAACCGAGACTCAGGAAAGAGAAGCCCCCAGGAATGGAGGGAAGAAAGAAAACAACCACTTGAACACCTGCAGGAGACAAGTGATCACACTACAACATAATGTCAGTCAACACTCAAGTGGTGAAAAGGTGTGGGGTTCTGGGGCTAATCGGATTATTCCCTTGGAAATTTGATGATTACTATCATTAACTTACACTCCAAGGCAGCTTAACAAGGTTCTTATCATCCAGCACTGCCTGCCTCTTGCCAGCAGCTGGTGGTTTGACTTGAACACTTGACTTTTTCTTGGATTGCAGAACCTGACTCTGTTCTTTCCTGAAAATCTTTTTCATGGGAATGCCTTCTTTTTTAGGTGCCACCTTTGGTTTTGCTGATGATCAAAAAGCCCAGTTAGTTGTCAGCTGAAAGGCCCATGTTCACCCAAGCGGCTTTTCGCGTATGTGTTTTCCTTTTCAAACACTCCTTTTGTCAAAATCAGTGTTTTGATGGGCAGAGTGTTCGCTTTTGACTCTGCACACACTCAAGATAGCAATTTTCAACTACGCGAAATCATTTTCTGGAATACAGGACTCGCAAAGCCGTTCAGTTGAATGTGAGCCTTAAAGCTCCAGTATCTAAATACAGATTCTCCAGACCGATATCCATACATTTCCTTCAAGAATAAGCTGAAAGAATCTAACAAAAGTTCAAAGCATTTAATTGCCTTTGGTGGTTATTTTATTTATTCTCATAACATTCCCCTTGACGATGTATTGACGCTGTTCAAAGAAAATAGGTGTTGGTCAATCTTGGGAATTAAAGGGTTTTGAACACGATGCGTTGTTATGAATTCAAAACATTATTGCTGCAAGCGACAATTAGGGTTTACATATATGTCATATTTGGTGTATTTTACACCAAAAAATATATCACACAGTTACACCAAGAATGTTGAGCAGTATTTGAATTTCTAACAACCAATAACATTCTCAAAACTGTGAGAATCCCAGGACGATTCTCAATAGAAGCCAGCAACCGGCAGACTTCTAACAGTTGTAAACCGTGAGCCTGATCAATCTCAACAAAAAGTTACACGTAGCTGAACATTTCTTTCATTAAGTAAAGTTAAGAATGAGAAATTTTTACACTGAATGAATCCGGCCTGTTACAGGTTTAGTAAATGGAAGTAAGAAGCAGGTTCCAGAAGTTCAAGATAAGGGAACTTTAGTAATTTATGTAGTAGATCTTATGTTCCATAAACAAGTAATTTTGGGTGAGCCCAAAAATACCTTTCTCTGACTTCTTGGGAACAGCACTGCCCAAAGGTTTTGGGGGCTGAGGATCAAGACACTTGCGTTCACTGAAATTTAAAATAAAGATCGTGAGTAATTCATTGGTTCTCCAGTAAAACTATTTTACATATCTTAACAATCATCATTACACCACAAACTACTTACACACAAGATTGCTTGCATATTCCTGGTCCTCCAAACTTTGGTTTGTCCCTGCAGTAAAACATTTAGGTGAAATATAATCTATAATTCTCATTCTGCATCACATAATACCCCTTTCTTTAAAAATACAGGGCTGTCATTAACTTCTGGGGGGCGGGGATTTCCCCTGGTCACTATGAAGGTGTCGGTCCGGGGTTGTCAGAAAGTTTTGAAGAAGACAGCTGAGTTGTCAAAGCAAGCGGCCAGCCGAGGGATATTTTATTTAAAAACGCAATCCATAAAGAAATGCCAAGCAGAGTAGCTGGCCGGTACTAACCAAGTAGGCAGTGATTTCTGCCGGCAGCTGGCTACTTTTGACAACCTGTGTCCCCTGACGACTTTCATAAAAAATAGAAGAAAATAGAATCAAAGGAATCCCTAGCTGTTAATTCCCCACCACTTGATATATCTACCTGTCAATTTCAAATCTTATTGACAGCCTTCAAAATTATTCAGTTTTCAAAACATTTTGTCATGGTTTCAGAATATTTTCTCTGCCTAGTTGACCCATACTAAGGACATTTTTATGTTGTACGAGAAAATGAAATTCAGGTTAAAATGGTTTTAGCCTAGTTTGACTTTCAGTTTCTTTTGTTTCCTAACCCATCATTTATGATCAGGAAAAGTACTTACTTGCACCAACGGCAGACACCACAATCCTCCTCTATTTTACAACCCTCGCAGACTCCGCAACGTACTCTCCTACGCCCACTGACCACAGCACATTTTTCCGTTGGCTTCTTTCTCACGCCCATTTTCTTAATAATTTTCACAACCTTTGTCTTGGTTTCACCACTCTTTGTTCGTACTTTCTTCACAACTTTGATTACTCTTTTCACCACCCTTTCTGTTTGTTCTTCGGGTGATTTCTCCATTTCTTTTTTGATTTCTGAAAGAGGTTTGCTACTTTCTTCATCTTCACTAGAGCTGGGAATTTCATTGTCATTTTTGATTACGTGGAGTCTTGAGGCAGCTGCCTTCTTCCCACTTGTTTTTCTTTTCTTCACTACCACCGGCCCTTTACGAGGCTGGCACTCATTATCAGAGTCCTTATGAACTCTCTTCTCTTCCTGACTCGACCGTCGAGATGATGTACGGCTACTCATTCCACCGTCAGAATCTACACAAGCATTTTCATTCCCACCCTGTTGTCTAATTTCTCCCAAGTTATCCTCATTCACTACTGAATTATCTTCAATCAACTCATTCTCTACTTTTTCTTGCATCTCTTGTAGTCGTTTTGATTTAAACACATATTTGTTTGTAGAATTGGGTGTACTTCTTTTAGACACATTACTACCTAAAGATGAAACCTCCGAAATGGATGATGTATCACTAACTTGGTCTTCAGGATCTTCTTTTTCATGTTCTTGTTTGATACAAGAAACATCCAGTGTTCTTTTCCTAATTTTAATTCTCTCTGATCTCTTTGTAGATGTTAAGTCTCCGTTACTGTTAATTTGTTTCCCCTCTTTTCTAAATCTTGAGCTAGATAGCTCGTCCCCTGAGTTTGAAGTTCTACTATTCGCTCCTCCCTGTTTTCTATGACCAGGAAACTTTGCCTGTTGATAATGGTTTCTTTCAGTAAGTGCATTTTTAATCCTCTTTGCGTTCTTAATGCGTGTTTTCCTGGTAACAGTCTGATTCTCATCAGCAGAGGAATTGCTGGCTGTTTTGTCCTTGAAGTCAAACTTTGCATTCTGACATTAAAAAAACAAAATAATCACAGCTGTATAAAAAATAGCCTGCATTGCAGATCAAACTTAACCTCAGTCAGTAACGTCTGTGAAGCAGTGCTGATATCCATGTTCTGGGTCCCCAACGATTACTCAAATCCTGGTACACAGGTGGGGACCCTGAACAAGATTTTGGTGCTGTTTTGCAGACAGACTTAATAACAGTTTAGTTTCATCATTGGGGAAGGCTATGCTACATAAATAACAAGAAAGAACAATGCACATAGCTGCTGTGGTTTAAACTGAAATTCAAGTTAACCGTTTCAGAATAGTTCGATTCTCAGTTGGCCCAAAAAATTCATAACCTGTACCGAACCTGGTTAGCAGCACTGACTGGTTGACAAAGAAATAACATATATTATACTCTTTCAGCTATTGTTCAAAAATGTACCAGGCACAGAATCTACCAAGAAATACTTATTTTCTAGGGATATGAGAAGTATTTTTTACATCATCAGTTCAGAATTTCTGAGGCCCAAATACAGAAATCTTCCTCATAAAATTTTCCCAGCAATGCGGAACAATGCAAGATAGCTTTATATAATACAGGTAAAATTTAATTTCAAGTTAATTTTGATTTAACCTAGGCTGATTCTCAATTTCCTTCCTAGCCCTAGAAGACAAAGGAAACTGAGAGTCAACCCAGGTTAAAAAAATTTAACCTGAAATCAAATTTGATCCATAACATATATGTGGGCTAAAAAGGGACAATATATAGATAGAAGTATACTGTAAATTTAACAGCACAAAAAAGACATCTTCATACCTTTCCCCCATCACTCGCACCAAGAGGCCTGATGTCAAATCCTGTGGGAGATTCTATCGGAATGCAAAATGTGGTACTCAGACACTGACATTTAACATTTTATGAAGCATAATAATAGCAACATTAATAATGATGATGATGATGATGATTATCATTATTATCAGAAACTCATAATATATAATAACTAGTGATCAACCCATGTACACATGACAAACATCTGAAGTGTCAACTGTTACTAGTAATAATAATAATGATGATGATAATAATAATAGTTTATTTTGTTGTAGGCATAATTCACCCTCAGGTCAAACCAGAATTTTCTCTATTTTTGTTTCTTATGAATAATTAGGGCTACATAAAAAAGGACATACTAGTTTAACCTGAGAAAAATTTTTACCTACAACCAACCCACCACAAAAGGCTCTTCGTAAGATGGCAGCAAAGGTTTGTAGTCCTACACTCATGTACAAGTATCAATATTACTTTTGTATTATTTTTCAAAAATAACTTTGAAGAGGAATATTTAAAAACTATGAAGCAGCATTGTAAGTGGAGAGCGAGTTGTTTTGTTAGTAATGTAAACAATGCAGTTTTAAGAAAAACAATGTGGTGAACTCAATTCACCAATTTTTTTTTAACAAAACTGTACTGTGATGAAAATACTTTAAAATGTTAATATTTTGCAACAAATTACGTTGCCATTAAACATTTATTAGTTGGCTATAGGTAATATTGAAAAAAAACAAAACAATAAAAAAAACATAAAAATCAAATTAGTATAAATAAAAACTTCATTAAAATATTATCAACAAGAGCTGCACAGAGAAATACAAAGAGAAAATCAGAAAATCAAATATTTGTGGCAACCTCAAAGTTGAAGTGCATAATTTTTAGTCACTCATCTTGTAATATTTAATGATGTTTGATTTATATACGAATATCATTATTTTCTTACTTGCCATGCAAACCAGATAAAACAACCCATACGAACATGTAATGCTCAAATAATCCATAGAAGTTTATTCATTAATGATTTTCTTTCCCAACATGCATCCCAAAATATTAAATTTCCCTGACTCAACATTACCTTCAACAACCTTGCTGAAATGACACTTTAGGATTTGTTTAAAAAAATAGTTATTCCACATATTTTACAAGCCCTTTTCTGTATGCACATGATGATGAGGAATTAATTGCATGTCAAAAAAATAATCCCGGTCTGATGCTTCTCTTTCTTTCATCACTGCAAATTCGCTTAACAGTTTACTGACATTGAACTGAATCAAAGAAAGTTAGGGGCTTCGCGTCAAAGTAAACTTCCAGTCTTCATTACAAGTGGCTTCTAAATTAATACAACCTGCTCACAACTGTTGACAGAACTAGCTAATTCATGATAAACAATATAAATACCTGGATTAGGAACGTAGACGCTTTGACCGGCTGGTAGCTCCATTCTCTCCAACTTCACCTCTGCCAGTCGTAGCGATTTCTCAGGTGGACATTCGCCATCCTCGAGGGGCCTCTTTTGTCCTCGATTGATCTTGTTTGCTGCTTCAGATCTCGTTTCTTCTCTCTTTGCTTTGAATTTGGGTGAGGTTACGTCGTCGTAATCCAATTTTTTACTCTTTACAACTCGCCCAAACCGCGATCGCACTTGGTCGCTATGTTTGTTTACCGATGAATTCTGCTTGCGAATCCTCTGTCCCTCCTTAGCCTTTGCCAACAACTGTTTCGCCAGTGGAACGGCTGCTTTCTTTTTTACACTCGCGAAGGGAAATAAATTCCTTTCGTATATTTTCATGCTTTTGGAAAGAACTACTTGAGGAGGTTTTGGGACTCGAGGTACAAAATTTGCTTTCACCTGAGTTGTTGATTTCACATTCGGTGACAAGCAAGTATTGTCGAATACAACCTCACGAACCACAGGACGCGCGAAGCGTCTCTCGTACGACTCTCTCTTCTTGTACTGTTTTGCGTATATGTTTTGGCTAGGCGATGTGGTCGTCTGCTTTTTCTCCGTCTCCTTTATATTGTTGTTATGATGAGAAGATTCTGGGGGCAATTTTGATGAATGGCCTGCTGAATGACGCGAATGAGTGTCTCGAACGCCATGATTATATCTCCTATAACTGACTCTCTCGCTGCCATCCAAATATCGCCTGACAGAAAAAGAGCGATATGCTTTGAGACCTAAATCCTCTGCTCGAAAGCCGTAAAATTCTTCTTCCTAGATAAAAAAGAAATCAACACTTGAGCCTAAAATCACTGACCACTGACAGAACTGAAAGGGTTTGATAAACAAAACACTGAAATGTGCATGGCAAACAGAGACATCGAATCACCTCTTCATCGGAATCTCCAAAAATTTCGCGGTATCTTCGAAGACTAATTAAAACTGGCTTGATAACCGATCTCTTCTGTTTTTTAATCAACGTGTCCTTCCTCGTACGTCCAGACATATCCAAAGACTTTTCTTTCTCCGGTGAACGGCTCTTGTTAGATCCTGGGAACTTCATTCGCGCCATATTGCCTCCAAATGCGCATGACTGATAGGAAGCCACACGTGCTTTGACGACCGCACAAGATCATGGGACAAAATGGAATAAACAAGGTTTTTGCAAACTTCTGCTTTATTTGATCGTTGCTACCGCTTTTAATGCGCTTGCTAGTCAAGTTTAGTCTATATTTCGTACAGCCTAAGACGTCTTGTAGGCGCTAAACATTTCGGAGAGCGCGAAATTTTCTGCACAACGATTGAGCGACCAGGCCTTGTGGGTATTCCCCAATGCGCTGATTTGTTTCCGGCGCATAGCATTCGCCAGAGCGTACATTTCAGCTTTTTGAATATAATGTATAAATGTGCTAGGGTTTGAGTTTATTAGCTATTATTGAAGACTTAATGATATTTTGTTGAGATGACGCGAAAATAAGTGGTCTCCCGCTAACTCGGTCCTAAACATATGCGTCGCCGAGCGCGCCATGATCAAAGCGATCGTTCCCAAAGACTCCCAAGAACAAGCTGGTGCTAAAGACGAAAATGCAATTAATTTATTCTGTTAGTTTTTTTGGCGGCATATGCCCCACTTTGTTTTCAGTACTTCTAATCCAAATCACCCTTTCAATTCATTTGATGCCACACTCTCCGATTATTTGTTCATTACAGGACTTTGAGACAATTAGGCGCGGGGTTTTCCCTATCAGATCTTGTTACTCCGCTTTCAAGGGACGAAGAAGTGTTTTCGATTTTACCGGTATATTTGTAGAGGCATAATCTTCTTCCTGTCTGCCCTCTGTTTTATTTTGTTGGAATCGTTACTTGCTAAAAAAATTATCATTTCTAAAAACACCTGGACCCGACCGTAAACCACGCGCACCGCGGACAAGGCTAGAACTCACGCCACACATAAACGTGTCCGATTTTAAAAGTACCCGGTAATGATTTCCTTCTATCCCTTCTTTTCTTTTTGTGATCGTTAACCTTAATTCCAATCTACAATCGACTGGCTGGCTCTAAGCACTTCCAAGAGATTCAATTTGCATGTACAAGAAATCAGTTCACTCATTTCACCAGCGAAAAGCAAACTTCATGATGGAAAGATTCCAGATAATACTTTTCAGGTTACACAATCTCCGAAAGGAGAACAAAACGTTATATGTATGGGCCACACACAGGGTGGCAAGCCTTTGGGGAGTCCCACGACATTTGTTGATCATCCTTGAATATGGGGCTGGACGCAGGATACGCCGAACGCGAGAGCTTATTTGAAAGGCATTCGTATAGGAAAATATGCGTTCAAAATTTGGATTAGCTTTAGAATCGAAATTTATTTGTTTAATCACTGAGAATTTTCAAGAAATGACAGGGGTCTTTTACTAAGATGAGAACGCTGTTGCTGATTTCCGTGCTCGAAGATCTTTCGATCCTTCTTGGCTGTTCTCAGGGTTCGGATAGAAGAGAAGAACTTAGGGTAAACTAAAAAATTGACTTGTAAGCACAAATTAGCGCTTTCTTTATCTTTACTTTGACGATCATGTTTGCTAAAAACGGACACCTAGAAGCTTTTTTTTTCTTCAGTTTTTGTTAGAAAAAACCTTTCCCTGGGCACGTTTTTTCCGCGATCTCGTCCGATTACCCCCGACAGCTGGTTACTACGGAGTCTTGCTCCCGCGTTCCCGCGAAAGCGGGCCAAATTAAACTATGATCCCGCAAGTTAAGCGCTGTCTGCCGTGTCCTCCCTATGATATTGTTAACGGTTGCTAATAACTCTCCTGGCTCGCGAACCAATTTGCTTGCGAAGAGACTTCATGTTGAACAGAGATTGCTCAGTGATTGCTTCCAATTCAAATTTGCACCATGAAGTTTGTATTGTAAAATGCTCAAAATCTTATACGTCACGTATCTACTGCTTATGACACGCCTATTAAACAATGATCGATTTCAATGGATCTCCGAGCACTTTGCTCCATTTTGGCGAAAATCAGGGGAAAATCGACTTGGAAATCGCGTGGGTATAGTTCACGACGATGTATGCGGCAGCTATACTTCTGGCGATTTTTCTTCCGTCGAATACAGCCATATAAATAGACTTCTACGTGTAAACTGACTCGTCTAAATTGTCGTTAAAGTTTTAGTTACCATACCAGAAATTCGAAAAGTTAGCTGATCGAGTTGTGAGTTCTGGCTGGATTTTTGTGTTAATCTGCGAGGGCCTGGGGACATTGTCTGACCTGTAACTATTTTGTTGAAAAATCAAAGTGCCATAAAATATCTCCCTTAAATGCGTTTCCTCTCAAATTTCCGGTGTAAGATAATTTTTATCTGCTTTTTCAACTTTTGGCATCAGCAAGATTCCAACTCATTGTTCAAAGGAAGCATTGGTCACGTGACCTCTTAGTGCAAGTGGCCTATTAGAGAGCTTTAGATTCTAGCTGATTCTGAGACGAGGACGACCACGAGTACGAGATTTTTTCAAGACTGAGTAGTGCTCACGCGTGAGCCACCGTCATTTTGGCGGGAAAACGTGATAGCTGTCGTTAATAGCCGTCGTCATTCTGATCTACAATGAGCAGATGAGTTTTAGCGAGTGGCGGAAACAAGTTATCAAATGTAAAAAGTTTCGGGAGAGGGCTTAACCTCCTTCAGTATAAATAACCGTACTAACGTTTTTGGTGAAAAAGAGTAAAGTGAAGCTTTCAGGGGTGTCTTCAAGCCCTCCTCAACACTAAAGCTATCCGCTATTGTCGCGTAGCCGTAAACTGCCGCTAATACGCCCCCTACTTAGGCCTCCTACTTAGTGAGAGGCCCATGCGCCTGTAAACAACAACAACAACAAAAACCGTCCGATTATAAAACCCGGATATAATCCCCCCCCAAATCTATTGGAAGAAATTCAATTTATTACGACATTTTGAAATATAAATAAACTCCAACAAATGCAAAACGTATTTTGATTAGCACTGCTATAGCTGGTTTGCAAGCGCATTTTCTTGTCCGGCAATAGACCTCTTTAGCTTGTACGTTTTGTTTTCCCAATACAGGACATGTGATAATACTCTAGGCAACTGTTTCTTTCAAATTTCGTCATATTCACGTGCATAAGTACGCATAATTTATGAAAAGACAAAGGGTCAAGTTCCCCCGGGACCTCTAAGTACGCATAAGTACGCATAATTTATGAAGAGACAAAGGGTCAAGTTCCCCCGGGACCTGTAAGTACGCATAAGTACGCATAATTTATGAAGAGACAAAATGACTCGTCTAAATTGTCGTTAAAGTTTTAGTTACCATACCAGAAATTCGAAAAGTTAGCTGATCGAGTTGTGAGTTCTGGCTGGATTTTTGTGTTAATCTGCGAGGGCCTGGGGACATTGTCTGACCTGTCGTGATTTTTCAAACGATTGTCCTACTTCATGTAGAATGCACGAAAGATCCCTCAAGGGGATTAAAACTCGACAGACCTTTTTCGCTTTTATGTTTAGTTCTGTCCGGGGTCCTGTCATCGCAGACCATGTGATGTTACCTCAAAGAACTGTTTTTTTTTTCAGATTTCGTGCTATCCACGTACATATGCGTGCATAACTAATGAAAATCCCTTGAGAACATCACGTGACCTGAATTCGAAAAATAAAAAGGTCTAAAGAGAGACTAAACGAACAAACATTCCTCAATAACGAGAAAAATAAGAGTGCATGATTCATTTGCAACATACGCGTGTAGCTGTCGCATTTGCCTGGTGGAATTTTTCATTGTTTTTAATCCTAAAAACAGTAAAAAGGGGGAGGAATCTGCGTATACTGGAGATCTTAAAGATCTGTTAACTTGTTTGGCCTCTAAACCCCATTATCAATATGAAAATCCCATTTCTCATTTGTTTCCTTTATTCAGTTCCTACAAAAGTAGCGGGGAGGATTTGTAAAATTATGAATTAAATTTCATCATGTGTGATCATGTAATTAATTCTCATCACCTCTTTGTTTATAAACCATTGATATAACAAAGAGAAATTTGATGCTAATCACTCTTAAGGTCTACAGAGTTAGGGAAACGTTTACGGAAAAGCCGCGGTTTAATGGCGATGACACAGTTAAAAGTTAAATTTTTAATCTAATTCACAGATTATATACACGTTTTTCTCTTTTAAAGATCTTTTCAAGGTCTGTGCGATCAGCAGATGGACTGAAATTAGGCAAGCAGTCCGTTAAGGAGAACTTCATCGGTGTTGTTGGCTGACCGACATTGGCCCATTAGTTTACTAGGGAATCGGCCTCTTCCTGGAAAAAACCTCTAAGCAATGGCTCGAAATTCTCGTCACTTCGTGCGATTTGTCGCTCCAGGGCGGCACGGAAGTCTTCCTTGGCCCCCTTGTTTACCCCTCGGGTTACGGCCCTACTGTAAAAAGACAGATATGAAACAAACACATCATCATAAGTCAGGTCATATCTTAAACAAAACAATAGTTATTTGGTTTTTCAAACCCGCACCATTTTCTTAAAATGAGTAAGTTCGTAGCTGTTCACGTGACCAAAACGTGATTTTTACAAATTATGAATTACCTCTTTCTGAATGCAAATTTTACACTTAAACTTCAAGGAAAATGTTGAAAAGATGACGTGGTAACGTTTACAGCACATCTGAGCGTAACTATCAAAAGTTTAACAAGATATAAGGAAAAAATAGTTTTGGCCGCCATGTTGGAGGGCAAGAGTATACCCTCCAACATGGCGGCCAACACAAATCATACTATTTTGTTGAAAAATCAAAGTGCCATAAAATATCTCCCTTAAATGCGTTTCCTCTCAAATTTCCGGTGTAAGATAATTTTTATCTGCTTTTTCAACTTTTGGCATCAGCAAGATTCCAACTCATTGTTCAAAGGAAGCATTGGTCACGTGACCTCTTAGTGCAAGTGGCCTATTAGAGAGCTTTAGATTCTAGCTGATTCTGAGACGAGGACGACCACGAGTACGAGATTTTTTCAAGACTGAGTAGTGCTCACGCGTGAGCCACCGTCATTTTGGCGGGAAAACGTGATAGCTGTCGTTAATAGCCGTCGTCATTCTGATCTACAATGAGCAGATGAGTTTTAGCGAGTGGCGGAAACAAGTTATCAAATGTAAAAAGTTTCGGGAGAGGGCTTAACCTCCTTCAGTATAAATAACCGTACTAACGTTTTTGGTGAAAAAGAGTAAAGTGAAGCTTTCAGGGGTGTCTTCAAGCCCTCCTCAACACTAAAGCTATCCGCTATTGTCGCGTAGCCGTAAACTGCCGCTAATACGCCCCCTACTTAGGCCTCCTACTTAGTGAGAGGCCCATGCGCCTGTAAACAACAACAACAACAAAAACCGTCCGATTATAAAACCCGGATATAATCCCCCCCCAAATCTATTGGAAGAAATTCAATTTATTACGACATTTTGAAATATAAATAAACTCCAACAAATGCAAAACGTATTTTGATTAGCACTGCTATAGCTGGTTTGCAAGCGCATTTTCTTGTCCGGCAATAGACCTCTTTAGCTTGTACGTTTTGTTTTCCCAATACAGGACATGTGATAATACTCTAGGCAACTGTTTCTTTCAAATTTCGTCATATTCACGTGCATAAGTACGCATAATTTATGAAAAGACAAAGGGTCAAGTTCCCCCGGGACCTCTAAGTACGCATAAGTACGCATAATTTATGAAGAGACAAAGGGTCAAGTTCCCCCGGGACCTGTAAGTACGCATAAGTACGCATAATTTATGAAGAGACAAAGGGTCAAGTTCCCCCGGGACCTGTAAGTACGCATAAGTACGCATAATTTATGAAGAGACAAAGGGTCAAGTTCCCCCGGGACCTGTAAGTACGCATAAGTACGCATAATTTATGAAGAGACAAAGGGTCAAGTTCCCCCGGGACCTCTATTGCGAAAACAAAACATATAAGCTAAAGAGGTCTATAAGCCTCCTTGAATATAGGCCCCTCCGATGATAAGCCCTCCTAAACCCTTTATGAAGGCGCATTAGCCCAAGGTTTATATGAGACAGTTGACCGTATGCGAAGAAAAACGGTGATCAGCAGTAAAATCTCAACAGTTTTTACGAAAAAAGTATCAGTTTGATGTGTCACAGTAGCAGCGTGCTGACCTTGAGCCAGACGTGGCAATAGGAACAAGATCAAGATTATAGCTGTCGTCAGTGTAAAGATGAGCAAACTCTTCTAAAATATCGATATCTGGCAACAGTTAAAATGAACAACTCAATACGTTTATCATCACAACCACCACCACCACCACTACTACCGTCATCATCATCATCATCAGCAGCAGCATTATCACCATCATTATTATTGAGCTCACGCAACGACGACGGGGACGTCAGCGAGAACGGCAAAACAGCAATAGGTTTAGATTGGCAGAACAACAACCCTGCACGTGCATCACGCTTTTTTGTACATTTCTTTCCCGTCACTGCACCACTAGGACGTGAAATGCCTAATTTCACGTCTTGTGGAGGACGTGAACACAAAACAACGACCTTGTTTTTCTTTTCCTGAACTTCGTTACACTCGTTTAGAATTCAACTCCAGAAAAAATTGCCAGAATTTGACGAATCGAACGAAATGGAATAAGTGCAATGAAGTTTGAAGCAGCGCGACTTTACTTTGTAAGTGACGTTTTCGTAACCGTCGCCTTCATTGTTGCTTAAGCTCCCTATTAGGGACGAGAAGGCAACGAGAACGTCGCTTAAAAAGTGAATTTGCTTTCTTTCAGTCTTAGTCGCAATTATTCCTACCCTCTTACTTTGTCAAATGTAGGCGAACCCTCCTGGGATTGAATTCCTAGGGGCCATATCCAAGTTCAAAAAGAGAAATAAAATTTCGTCGTTGCCTGTTTACGTCCCCCTTAAAACGCGAAATAAGGCATTTTCACGTCGAAGTCGTGCAAAAACAGGAAATAAATGTAGCGTGATGCACGTGCAAAATTGTTGTTTTGCTTATTAAACCTTTTGTGTTTTTGACGTTCTCGTTGTCGTCCGCGTCGTTGGATCTTAAAGTCCCTAATATCATTCACCATTAACATCATCATCATCATCATCATCAATATCATCCTTACTATTATCACTCTTCTCTCTTACAGCTAAGTTAACAGTATATTAACTTGAAACGAAAGACACGTGTTGGTTGACGTAACAGTTTTGAGCCTAATTTCCAACCTCCTCCTCCACAATAAGCAAGGAGTTATTTGAGTAAATATGCAATGAAAATTCAGATGAGTAATTAGTAATTACGCTGGTTTCGTTATAGAGTGGTTTTCGTTTGAGTGTCGTAAAACCAAAACCAAAGTAATTACTCTGGCCAATCACATAGGACACAGACAATACATTGAACCAATCAAAACTCGAAGTAATTACATGTGGCTGACGCAAAGCGCGGGAAAATGCATGCGAGCGCGTCACAATTGGCTTTGGTTTTACTTCTGATTGGATGAAAAGGTGGCGCGAATCTTTTAAGCCAATCGCATCGTGTAGAAAGTGCAAAACCAATTACTTTTCGACACTCAAATGAAAACCGCTCTACTCTGAGTCATGGTTTTGAATTAACATGTTAGACTTATGTGGGCTAAAGGCTCTGATTTACAACGGAAATCCACTTTGTCTTTAGAGTCACTTTCTGTCACAACCTACTCAGTGAAACCATCTTAAAAGGAACACCAAAAGGACAGAACCAAGTATCCGCATGGAGTACAGTCGTTTTGCTGCATAATGAAGTCGATTCGCTGCATAGTTGTAAAGTCGTTTCGCTACATCATGAAGTAAATTCACTTTCTGGTAAAATTTAAGCCTCTACATAACTTGACTCCCTGTTAATGACATGCAGCGAAACGACTTGTAGCGAAACGACCGTAAACCATCCGCATTACAGAGGTGTTCGTATTATAGAAGTTGAGATTGTCTGAAGTTTTGCATGTTAGGGGACCAAGAGAGCTATCCGTAAAAGAGGAGTTTTTTGTATTAAGTAGAGGTACAACAGTAATGTACTTCACGGCAAGGGTTTTTGCGATTCGTGTAAAAGAATACCACACGTCATTTTTTAATAGGCCACTTCCGAGTTCCAAAAATCCTCACTTTCAAAATGAGGCCAAGCGCACAAACTTTCTTGTGAAAATGAGTTTTATTTGCACGACAATGAAGAATCATTTCCATATCAAAAGCTGAGAACTCCCCCTCGTTTTGATACAGAGGCTCGGGGGAACTCGGAACGGCCTATTCATATTTTAGCCCTTTGCAGAGTTTAAAGGAAACAAAACAACCAACAAGAAAGTACTGCAAAAGGATACTGCTTACATAGTTGAAAAACACTCTGTATTTCAGCCCGCCGTGATCACGGATTTTGTCGAGGAGTTCATAAAAAGTTGCTTCCTCTCTCGGCCAACCATACTGCAGAAGAACGATCACGTGACCTATGAGGGTGTCATTACGTCCTTCAGTTGCCAGTCTTTGCTGAAGAAGAAAGTAGAAAAGAAAAGTTGGTGTCGTTTTTTATGCTGTAGGCAACTGTTGGTAGCTGTTGTGTTGAAGGTTGGGTTTTGTTCAGAGGTTAAGAATGGTTTTAACTGGTTCCTATATAACCGCCTCGATCGTTAATAAAATATAAATGATCGAAAGGAACTCATCGTCATAAACGTAACGCTAAATTCGTTAAATTCGGATTTATAGGGTAGCAAGTTGGTACTATCTTCGAACCAAGTTGCTAACTTGAAAATGTGGCATAAGAACTACTCCTGGAAGCTTTATATTCAGTGGAACACGGTTTCCAAATGATAGCAAGGATGGCTCAAAATGGTACGGAACGATCGTTGAAAAAGTGTGTTCAAATCATCGCTGCTATCACAGGGTTCTTTTTTCAGCGATCTTACGACAAAAGACGAGACGGGGTGTTTTATAACATATCAAACACCGAGAGGAGAGATGAAAATGCGACGCGTAGCCGAAAAAGTTTCACGAACTACAAGGTGTTTAATTTTGTAATGAGACAATTTTTAAGTGTTTGATGTAACTAACTTCTCAATTAAAACGAACTTCAAGGATAACTTGGTAACACAAAAACGAATAATCTTCAATTAGACCACACATGTCAAGGTTCATAGTATCATTTGTTTCTCTAGTGTTGTTGTTATTTGCACTTGAATTTGTAATTAATTTTTGGGAATGTCATTAAGTGATTTCATGACTACACCATCAGTAACACAAAGACCTTGGCTTAGTCCCCTTCTGATTCTTATCAGGGAGCTTTAGCAATTGAGCGACGCACGTTAACCGGAAACAAGGGCTTTTGCCTTTTAAAATACCTTGACGCTATCGAATTTGTATTGCTAAGGTTCTTTATTCTTACAGAGACAATTTGGCCATAAATGACCACCGCGGTCAAACGTCTAAATCGTTATTTTTGTTTTTTATTGCTGGGATTTCATTTACCAGTTAGAAAAAAATAGGCAAAGATGTATAAATCAGTTAGTTAACATAACTATCTTTCCATTTTCTCAAAATTTTGAGCTTTTTTCGCTGAAACGCTTGCGCGATTTTCTCTTAGTACAAACTTTTACCGCGGCTATTATTGCAGTCGTAGCCAAAGGTTAGTGAATCTTGAAAAAATCATTTGAAAATTTTTCAAATCATTTGATTGTCCTACAACCATTTACCCTAACCTTTCGATAGTGAAAGTAGCAACCTTAACTTTGAAGTATTTCGCTTAACTTTTGCAAATTTCACTCGTTTGACCGCTGTGAACCATAAATGTAGGCAAAACCACTGCCAAGATTGAAAAAGTCCACTTCCGGTTAGTCTGCTACACAGCCGTTCATAGTGTCGTCACGCAACACTCCTCCAGATGGCTGTGTAGCAGACTAGCTTCCGGTGACGTGCGTCTCTCAAAACCGTCTTTGTTTTAGTTCCCCATTGTCACAATTGTTCGTTTAAAGTGACTTGATCACCTTGAGGGAAGAAAGAAGCAAACGCACACAAAAGGACAGAACTTCCGCTTCGCTGCACTGAATCAGCCGTAAAGTTCTACCTGGAAGTAAAGGCACAAGATTAAAAATCATGTGACGTACGATTCTCCGTTGCTCATTGGTTTAAATCCTCTGGAAAATTCTTCATGACCAGCTATTACCAAATTTGGAAAATTTTCGTCGATATCAATACAATCGACCTCAATTGTACTGATAATCAATAGAAAAAGGACATAAAGCGCGGTGGCTCAGCTGTTTTTACCAGTGCAGAGCTGGAGAAAATACAACCTCTTTCCCAGGGTTCTCTCTCTTGCTTCGAGGAAGAAAAAAGAGAGAACCCGGGAACGAGGTTGGAGAAAATGGCCGAAAGTTTCAAACGCTATAAAAAGACGAAAAAGCTGAGCTACTGCGATAAAAACAGCAAAAATAGAGAAAAATACCACTGACAGATGAAACCTGCTATATAAAGAATATCTGCTAAAATGAGCATCGCTTCATTTCCTTAAACTAGCGTTGAAACAGGCAATATTTTTAAGACGGGAACTTTAAGAAGAAGTAAGCATGTTCTGGGGTTAAACTATGTTTTATCATGTGACCGGTACGACCCCGCGCACAATTTCGTTGGAAAACCATACGATATGAAAAATCCCGTATGAGGGCCGTAGGTGTCAAGTGATAGGGCCGCAAAAACACGTACGGCCCTGCTATTAAAGCGTACTGATCTATGCGCGTTCACGCCGTGAGAAAAAATCAAAAACACAACGGTCATATGATAAAATGCTTATTGACTGAGTTAGGTAGCGCCGGGCGGGAAATTATTTGGCTCGAGGTTAAGACGTATGGACCAAGCGCAACGAGGTCCGTGCGTCCTGACCGCTGCGCCCGGTCCGTACGTCCTAGGCTCGAGCCAAATATTTTCCCGTCCGGCGCTACCTAACTCAGTCAATAATATAGAATATACATAGAATATATGACAAAAAACATTACTTGATTCGGATGTCGCATGAGGTCAAAAATTATGAATATCTGAGGGATGATATCCCTCCCCAGGGGCTCTTCTCGCCGTTCTTTACTTTTCTTCGTGCCATATCAGTTTCCGCCCGTTTAGACTTTCCCTCGCCCCCACTATCTGCCCCTGGGTCTCCGAGGATGTATCCCTCCTCGATCAGCATAATTCGTCATATCAAAGGAAAGCCGAATCCGATAATTGCTAATTAATTCATCGGAACAAAGGCTTGTAGATTCTATGGTTTCAGTTCTAATATTTAAATATTGTTATTTCCACCCTATTTTTTTGCTAAAAAACCCTATATCTTAATGCTATGCTTCTTTTGTGGAACAAATCCTAAATTACCAGAAGTAGAAGATGTGGCGGTTGCCGAGTCGTTTCCAGTTACGTCAAGTTTTCCTTGATGAACTGACGTCGATCTTTTTAGTGCCATGTTTTCTGTGGTCGAGTTTCTTGACGAAAAAAACTGAAGACCATAGAGAGCTTCTTCACATGCTCTCTGTGGAAAAAAATAAGAAGAAAAATCAAGAAATCAACAACACACAAACTTGAAAGCACCGTCGAACCTCTACTGAGCGGCGGTCTAGTAAGTTAGTCCAGTTCTGGCCTCTCTCTCTCTCTGTCACGCAACGTCAGGAGAGGGCGTTGCGTGACAGAGAGAGAGGGGCCAGAACTGGACTAGCTAGTAAGTAAGCTAGCTACCTACTGCCCAAGCCCGTGTTCACGGACACTTGCAGTTTTTACCGGTTGCTTCTTCTTTATTATTCTGTTTTTGGTAATTTTGCGAACTACTTTATGCATTCAAGTCGCCACTTTCCATCAATTGCACCCTTTCTAGGGTTTAGTACCTTCCCGTAATCAGTCACTCAAAAACACAATCGAAAGAAGTCGACAACAACTTGTGTTTGCCGACGTGATTTTTTATTACCTTATGATCATCAAGTTGAAAATAACAACAGGATAACTGAATGGCGCCTCTTATCAATAACTGAAAGATAAAAGATACGAGGAGTTTGACCAAGGGCTCAGAAAATGGGAGTGGCCCAATATCCGAGGGAAATTAAAGTCCTGGAAAATAGGTAGTCTCCCATCCACTCATTTTTGTCTCGTCACGCAACGCTCCTCCCCAAGAAGGGACGGGTTCTTTGGGGAGGAACGTTGCGTGACGAGGCCAAAACGTCTGCGCGCGAGACTAGGAAATAGATCGAAGTTGGATAAATAGGCCTCTGATAAAATGTCACGCAAAATGAACATCAAAATAAAGAAAACAGGTTATTAAATTTTAGTTTGTGTTAAAACTTACCTCTTGGTTGGATGAAGTATCTTGCTCCGAAGAAAGCCTTTGTTCTTGAAGAAACTCCACCGCCTTTTTGTATTTTCCCTAACAAAAAAATAAGGTCCGTTCGCCGTCAATTTTCAAACACATCTGCCTTGTGCTCAGTCGTTTCTTGGCTTTTACGAAGGGATTATGGGATTATGGGAAGGGTGAAGGATACAGTCAGCCTTTGCGTTTTTAAAGCTTTCCCATGATCCTCCTCACATCACATTGAACATTCCCATGAACCCTTGCGAAAGAAATTTGTTATATCGTAAGAGAATTTCCTTTGCTAACATGAACTTTATGGCTCATAATCAACAAAAATGAACGAGATTAACTAAAATACTCCGACCTAGTGATTTTATTAAACGATCACTACCCTTCTAACACAAAACTGCTTTGTTACCTTATAAATAAGTCGGTCAACTTGAAACGTTCTCATCCAGTTCCACTGCCCAACGTCCCACTCATCCAATAGACGAGCAAAATCTGACCAAAAGAGACTCTCACGTTGGTGCGTATATAAGTATTTAAAACAACAACAACAACTGAGCAAAACTAAAACAATTCTACTTAACAATAAGTCTACGAGTTCGATTTTCTTCTACTTTGACGGCGATGGCAACAAAAAGGGTAAAAACGGAGGTTTAGCAAAAAAAAAAGCTCTGTACACGCATCACACTTTCTTCGTACATTTCTTTGCCCTTGCTGCACAACGGGAGACTAATAATCAAGTTTTGTGTAGGACGTCAACACAAGACAGAGAATTACAGAAAAATCCGCCAACATTTTATACATTCTATGAGATGGAATAAGAACGATGAAATTTTAAATGGCGCGAATTCACTGTCACCGAGACGCGAAGGCTCTTCTGTAGCCTCCTTCGCAAACGTTCTTAGGGGTTCGTAACGCGTTCCCGCCCCACTAACTAGTGGGAAAGGAACGCGTGACGAACCCCTAAGAACGTTTGCGGGGGAGGCTAAAGAGGAGGGCGCAACGCGAGTCACGCGTGCCTCCCGTTGCGCGTGACTCGTGCTACGCGCTGTTTTCGTGCTAGCCTTCGCTTGCCTGAAACGCAAAAAATAACATCTATTCTGCAGTCTACTAAGTCCCTCTTGCTTTAAGTATGTCTTACTAAGTCCCCGGCGGGATTTCAGCCCATAACATTCCACTGTGAAAAAGACTGAAAAAAATGCGCAAATATAAAGTGAAAAAACAATTCAAAACTAACCGTTTTTATAATCAACATGGGTGTTCAGAAGATGCCACGCCTCCACGGATACATGAAAGTCATCTGAAAGGCTTTGACTCACGGAACCACAATCTGACGCAAGGATTCAGAAATACGTATAAGAACAGCGTCGTCAATATAGTGGTCTGTTGTACAAAGTTAGGACCCACGGCCACCACTTTACAGAAATACTGATGGTGTCTCTATGTACCCCCTGTCCCCCCATAAAAAGATGGTGACATATCTTGTACAGGGAAACAGTCAGTTTTGCCCCCTTCGAGCTCACTCCATTAGAGTTCGACCCTTGATTTCGATCATGATTAGGGTTAAGCACTGACCCAAAATGTTACGCTTTTATTCACTGTTAGGTTTGCTACTATATGAAAGTTAGGTCACGGAGCAAATTCAAACGAGGAGATCTTGAATGGGGTGGGAGGTGGGGGGAGAACACTTGGTTTTTACTACTTCCCTAGGGATGTTTTTTAGCTAAACCCCAAGGGGTACACTTGAGTATGGCAGTAGGATCTAATTATTATTATTTTCTTAATATAAAAGGGAGGCGGGGTTCTAAAATTCTGGTCTAATGAGACATTTTAGGTTGCAAAAAAAAACGGAATTAATATCTTTGAAAGCTGTATCAGAGTAAAATCCCGATGATAGAGAGATTAAGATTCACGTTTACGCCAAACGGCAAAAGTGAATTTGTACCACGTGACCAAATTTTCCCTGCAATTGTCGTTTGCTGTTTATTACTTCCACTCAAATATAAGTAGTTTCATGGCAGTTTTTTGTATAAGAGTTGTTCTGGACAGTTTTTATCTGCTTTTTTTCTATTCTGAGAAATTCTGAACTTAAATCTGATGTTTGCCGTTTGCCTTAAACGTGACTCATCTCTAATAATGTGGAAACCGGAATATACAATTCCCTCATTTTTGCATTGACTTTTACAAACACTTAGGGTCGGTTATTTAAACGAAGTCTAATTTAGACCACGGTTTAAGAAATCTTTGGACCTCCAGATCTCGTCCACGCTATATGCTTTCATGAAACTGTTCACGATAAATGGTGTTTACATAAAAGCGATTGGCAAACTGAAAATAGCTTAGAACTCGGTTTTGTTAAACACGGGCTAAACCCGTTTAAAAAGTAACCCTTACAGTTTCTCATATTACTGCCAAATTCCTGCTTTTTCCCGACCTCAAGAAAGTTTTATATTGCCCTTATATTTTTCTCACCATTGCACTTCTAAGCTGTCCGTTATTGCTTTTAAAAGTCAAACTAAACATCACTACATTGCAGGCCGCTGGACTCACTTTTGTCTATTATTATGTGTGATGACTGCTTATTTTTGCCATCCTCTGTGACAGGGGAACCATGACTAACCTGCTGACGAAATATATATGTTATTACAACAAAAATCTGTTCAACATATTACACACAAAGCAAAGTTTGTACAACCATAGTCAGTCAATTCACATTTTGTGAGTTTTTGTAAGTTTAGTGGGTCTTAATTCACCATACGGCCTCGCACCATATTCATACCATCAAGAGATATAACATTATTTATAATATTATATATCATTTATCTTAGTAACTTTGTTCTCATGGTCTAGTATAATGAAAGTTGTAGTACTTTTGTTTTTGTTTTTGTTTCCATTTATGACCAACCAGATTGGGATTAATCCTCAAACAGTCCTCAAACTGGTTTGAAGGGTGTGTGAAAGTGGCTTCTGATGTAATATCAATGAACAAGGCGGATTTAGTGGTGGGCTGAGGGGGCACCCCTTTTTATTTGAAATTTTTTATTATTTTAGTAGAATTCTCAGAAAAATCACAAGTATCCATGTAGCTGGTAAGTGGGCAACTGTCCTGGCCTACCCTTTCTGAATTTTCTGGATCCACCTCTGTAATTCTCTCTCTTTGGCCAAGAAAATAGAAAGGAAATTTGGAAGGAGAACATTACTGATCAGTTTATCAGAAGTTGCTGGTCTTTCTTTCTATCCCAGCTTTTACTTGATGGTATTATGCTTTACAGAACATTTGAAACAAACATGAACTTTTACCTAGATCATATATTTTATTATGTACTGGTACGGTATCATACTTACAGATGCTAGTTTTCGCTTCTTCTTCTTTGGTGCTGGACTATAAAGGTGCAAAACACACAGTTATTATAAAACACGCACATGTACTTGCTTATTTAGAACACTCTGGCATTTACATGATCTTTCAGGGTTTTGCTATCACAAGTTATTGATAGCACCTCTAATCTATAAATCCTGATTTTCCCTGGGTGAAGGGTGGTACTCAACAAAATTTAAATGCAAGGAGGCTCCGCCTTGAGGTCCAACAACTTACTCTTTTATATTCCGTTTTTGACAGAAAAGGTACCCCTTTCGTATACCTTTTAATGACAAATGGTACCCCTTTCACATACTAGTTTAGAACACTCCATCCCTCAACTACTGGAAATGCACTATCTTTTAAATATAAATAAATCACACTAAAGAAGAAAGTTTTCTTGTCTTCTTCACAGCCATAAAATGCATCTGCTAGCCCTATTAGGTCCTCTCACAAACCGCAACGACAGATTTTCCTACCCTTTCATATACTTCAATTTGTGTAATCCCCACCCTTTCATATACCTGAAGTCTGAGAAAGGTACCCCTCCCGGGCGGAGCCTCCCCGTATAGGCCATTATAGGGAGTGCTCTCCCGGGTGATTTTAACACTCCTACCTACTGGCTCCTGCTGAGTTCATGGAATTTGGATTGCTGCTCTCAATACTGTCCTCAACCAAGACCAAAGGATGAACTAAACCAGAGGAGGCTGTCAAAAACAACAACAATAACAAAACAAATTAATGCTACTGCTCCATTGAGAATAGGGAACTCACTCGCAAAAATCCTTTCACTGCCAAATGTGGCCTAAGGCAAAATGCGACAAACAAATAGCAAAAACAAATAGTACCATGTGAAAGTACAGGTACAGAAATTTTGTTTGAATGGCCACTCTACAAGATTTTGTCCTCAGACTCAAAAGTAAGAGCCACCTTAGAAAACTGCATTATTCACTCTGGCAGTAGAAAGGGATAAAGAAAAGATAGAGAAACTGAAGAAAGGACCACTACACATTTGGCATTAATTACAGGGACACCTTTCGGCAATTGGCATGACTGTTGACTTCCATTGTGTAACACCTCACCTCCCAGCTGGTACTATGAGTTGAAGCCAGGGCTGTCATTAAGAGGCGGGGGCCGAGGATTTTCCCCAGCTACTATGAATGCGGCTCTGGGTTACTTTCACAGAAAAATAGAACCAAAAGAAATCCCTAGCTGTTTGATTCCCTGCCTACTTGTTGTATTTACCCCACAACTTGAAATCTTAGTGACATTCCTGTGATGCTTAGGTCAACAACACAACACAACAATTTGCTGCAGTGACAGCACACCCAGGCCAGCAACAAGCCTTTTCTAGCAGATCTGCCAGTCAAGGCATTTATCACATTATAATGAAATTTACTCTATTAAGTGAATGAACCATCCCTACATTGGTCTTTACTCACAAACTGAATCAAGCCTGTTGACCAAACGACAGTATTCCCAAACGGTTTGCAGGAACAAGATGGTGGCAGCATACATGAGTCCAGTTTTTTCCACAATGTCATCACCAACCTCCTCTTCTGAACTGTGTTTTGTCATTTTCTTTAATTTCTGATGCAGCTCAGAGATACTTGTCCAGTGATCATTGCTACTTCTGCAACATCAATGAAATACCAAGTAAATAAGTAATTAAACGTTGCTGTGGATGCATGTATCTGGTGCAGATCTACACCTGTTTCCAGTACTATTCTTGAAGAATGGATTATGTTTTTTGACTGTAGAAAGAAAATCAGGCCCTTTTGGAAATTAAAAATTTTTTTGCTATAGTTTTATATTTCACAGGGAAGTCAATTTCTTTTCTCCATTCCACAATTGCATCATAAGGTCAAAATTTTCATCTTTCCACCTCAAGTAATAAAAATGGTCAAAAAGCGTAAATCAGTTTACTCCTGAATCTCAGCTCACTGGAGGCACATAGATTCCAAGCTTAGGACCATTCTTTTGACTTAATAGGGCTGTACACAAAAAGGGTCTATTGCAAGACGAATATCCCCAGCATTATTATGCTGTCCCTCCCTAAAATCCCCTTTGCAGCTAGCCATTCACGTGGTACAAAACCGTCGTGCTGGAGAGCAAAAGTCGCACTGGGACAAGACAAACAAAAGACATACATAATTTGAAATGGTAATTGTCTTTGTTTGTCTTGTCCCAGTGCGACTTTTGCTCTCCAGCACAGTGGTTTTGTGCCATGTGAATGGCTAGCTGCAAAGGGCCTATTCCTACACATCCTTAATCAAGCAACTTGCCACAGTTATTTCACTTCCACACTACCTGTACTTTTGAGAATCAAGCCTTTCTTGAATGCTACAGATCTCCATCCAACCGCACTTTTTGGCCGTCAAGTAAAACAATTCATGCAGGGCTATCCACGGACCTTTGCCATCCAGTACTTCTGCAATAATGCTAGTGTCTACAAGGCTGTTATACTGAGTATCAGAGTGTTCATATACTGAATTATGGACAGTGGCGCATGAGACATAGAACTGAATGGATAACTCTAGCCACTTGTACACCTGGGTCAGTGAGATGGCAGAAGGAATATCCTGAATGAGGAAAGAACGGACAAGTATCGAATTAATGGATGGCACCTCAGTATCAGTGGATTTTGCTTTAGGGTTAGTGAATTCTGTTCTTAACTTGCTGATCGGCAAGTGAAGTTTTTGGGGAATTCAAATTACAGAAGAACCAAAATCGATGCTCAACAAAAATTTTACTGGCTAGTTAGAATGACTTTCAGGGAAGTACATGCTAACTACAGCATTCGCAAATGGCAAGCTGTAAAACTGACTTTCTTTGCACCCTGCTGGGTGGGCAAACTGATGAAACTTATCTCTTTAGGATTACCTTTTTTATTCCAACAAGAAAATAAAAAGCAGAGCCGCAAATTATCAAGAGAAATGTCTAAATGAAATTTGCCCAATGTGTGACAAAATCCTACTTGTGGTCAGACACAACGACCAGACAGATCAAATATTTAAGACTATCATAGCACCATTTCTGGCAGCATTTTTGCACACATTTCAACGCTGACAAAGACTGTTTCATCATTACATTCATGGAAGCATTGGCTGATATTCCATACTTCATGTAAGACTATGTATAATGTCCTGAGCTACACCCACATCTTGGTCCTGTTGATTTGTGTGTATAGCAGGTATAGTGAGGTGGGTGATACTGCGAGAGGGTTACTGCAAAAGAGACAGTCACCAGATTTCGGATCTCCCAGAGGTTGGCATCTCTGCCATCCTCTACTCCTTGTTCTTGTTGCTTGTGTTGTTTCAAAGTAACAACTTCATTTACAAGAATAATCATAACAACAAAGATTGATCAAAAGTCACCCTATGGGAAATCACAAACCTCTTCATCTTGGCTACTGCTACCACTGACATGAGTAGCATGAACTGTCATGTTTTCACTGGCCAGTAAATGAGGCAGTACATCACAAACTGAAATGGGAAAAATAATAATTAATTATTAAATAATTAAATAATAATTAAAGTAATTAATTAATTACATAAATAATAATTATTAATAGCTATTGTCAATGTACATCTACAAGTTTATTGATACTAAAAAGTGAAAGTACAAAGGAGACATGATCATGGCCAAATGGTTAACACCTCAAACTTTGTATTCTTTAGGTCTGAGTTCAAGGCTAATTGCCATCGCAAAGTTTCCTTAGAGAAGAAGCTTTTCTCTACTTGTTGTCTCTCTTCACCCAGATATACAAGGGGAACTGGCGACATACTACTCAAGGAACCCTGAGATGGAATAGCATCTCATCCAGGGAGGGAGGGTGGTGATATTCTTAGTATTCTCCTTCTTCCTTCCTAGTCCTTTTAGCTTCAAGTGACACTCAATCTTCCAGAGTAGGGAAAATTTTTAGAATCACACACTTCAGACAAAACGTATATACTCAAAGTAAGGACAGACCTGGGATTTTGACAAGGGGCAGGGTCGGGGGAGGGTCATGAAAGATACTAATGTTGTATCTTAAATGAAGAAGTAACAGCTGGGGCAAAAAGAAGGTACAAGGACATGCAGGGAATCCCCCAGATCCACCCTTGCAGACTCCTCCAAACATGGACACATTTGCCTGTCAATGTAGAATATCCAGTCCAATTTAAATTTGATTTGTACCTAACAACTTCCTGTATGGGTTAACTGCAGTATCAGGATACTCAGACTTTTCAGCATTAATTAACATCTCAATCAAAGTCACCTTGGTTAAAAAGAAATGAAAACTGATCAGTCTTAATATACAGAATTTGCTCAAAATTTCATATGCCACTATTGTCTCTGTATTTNCATGCAGGGAATCCCCCAGATCCACCCTTGCAGACTCCTCCAAACATGGACACATTTGCCTGTCAATGTAGAATATCCAGTCCAATTTAAATTTGATTTGTACCTAACAACTTCCTGTATGGGTTAACTGCAGTATCAGGATACTCAGACTTTTCAGCATTAATTAACATCTCAATCAAAGTCACCTTGGTTAAAAAGAAATGAAAACTGATCAGTCTTAATATACAGAATTTGCTCAAAATTTCATATGCCACTATTGTCTCTGTATTTAAAACGAGCAAATAAAAGACAAAAAAACTACTGTTACATAATCATGTAACATTGAACTATACCCCATTTCTTGGGATCACGTCAGGGAACCTTCTCATCAGAAGTAGCATCATTCGACATTTTTCAATGCAATCTTCGCATCTCCCTGGAAAAACATAAAGTAAGGCTTAACAAAAACAACAAAACTTTATTTCAAGAATTTAACTTAAGTAATTAGGTTTATGAAGTAATTAGGTAATTAGGTTTATGAATAATGCAAATGGACCTTCAAATTTGATGATAACTGAGCCATTGCAAAACCATTTTTTGTACTGATTCATTCCTGCCAGAAAAGATGGGAGCTTTACCTTAACAACTTGCAAAACCCCCCTGGTTAAGAAATGGACTCATTATAATTATTATTGACCATTTTATCTCAAACCAGGATCTCCCACGTCACAAGCGGTAGAAGGGACATGGATCTGCACAGGCAGTCAGGGGCAGTTCAGGGGTAAATGGGTTAAAAGTGATTTAAGTTTTCTTGAGCTAGTTAGACTAAAGATTTAATATTAGAAAGAGTGCATAAACCCACCTGCAGCTTGGAGAAGAATTTCTCTTTGTGCATGCTGTGGAAGGCAGCTGAACATGTCTAAAAAATAATGGTCATTTTGAATGAACAAAATTTGGGTGTTCATGAGTTGTACATTTACATGTAAATGAAGTTCAAATAAAAGAAAAGAAGTCTTAAGTCCTTTTTCAAATTACTGGTCCATTATATTGCTGGTGACAAAGTTTGAGAGCTAGCTGGAGAGATTTTTGCAAACTACTTGCTGTATGGAATACTTTTCCGATCTGCCAGAAAAAAAATTCCAGATTTTTTCCGCTTTAATTAAAGTATTAAAAATACATGTAATGTAAACTTTGAAAATGAAGAGAAAGAAATCCAAAACTAAGGTGCATGGACACCTACCTGTCAGAAATTTGCTGTGTTGATTTGTTACTTCACCCTCAAGAGCATCTGTAAAACTTGCGACTTCTTTCCAAAGCAAGTCACTGTCAGGAAACTGCTCAAACCTAATTTACAGTAATTAGAAAATTGATTAGAAAAATTCTGGTACTTATATTGCTAGCATTTCTTATCACTTTGATCATGCAATTCTCTAGCAATGGGGTTTCACTGCTCACTGAATCACAGGTGCAATTTCATTTTGCTGGGCGGAGGAGTGTCCCCCCAAATACCTACAATAGTTGAGTTTCATACAGATGTTGAAACCTTAGTCACATTACATCTTCACCGATGTAGACTGCAAAACAGTCAGTTTTTTTCTCAAAATCAGTAAACAAATTGGTAGTCTCACACACCCTATGGGCATGTGTGGCGGCGAGAGAAAATTAGCATCTCTTCCCAGTCTTGCTCTCTCCATTTTCAGCCTTATTCCAGACCTTTTGTTTGCTCATGGGTACTTGAATACACACAAATATGGACTGTTTTGCAGTGTATCACCAATATTGATTTACAGATAAATTTGCTCATTTGCAAGCGTCTCAACACTGGGTAAGAAGAAAAGGAGCAGACACAGAGGAAGCTTAAATCATTTGGTCCAAAAAATGTGACGTGAAAAATCCTCAGCTTTAGATCCGTGCCATAGGAAGTGCCACTGCCCCCACCCCCAGTGAAATAGAGGCTCAGACTTACATGTGGTAGAAGAGCTTAGCAGACTCCTGTACTCTCTCAGCATTTCTCTCAATACTGTATGCTTCATACTAAAAATAATATTGATATTCAAAGAAAGTGTTCAAGAAAATGGTTAAACATTGAATCATGATAAAATTGGGTTGCTTTTAATATCCAGATCCCATGTCCCCCCCCCCCCACCTCCTTGAGGACTTTTGTTTTCATCTTGCCCCAGGAGATTTAATAAAATTGCATTCAGCACTGAAGACTTCCATAAAATATGGGTCTACCTCTTGAAGAAGATGGGTCTACCCCTGAAAAATATGCATGGGTCTACCATGAGGAATTTTGCGAGAATTTATAAAGATCCACCCCCAAAAAATTCCATATTTTTTTAGTTTACCCCTAAAGAAATCCTCAATTTTTATGACTTACCCCTGAAGAATTCTATTGGTCCTTAACGGGGGGATACGGATATTAATGCAATAGCTATTTCTTTAAAGGGAAACTTGGATTGCAAGAGACCTCACCTGAATACCAAAATCTTTCGGATACAAGGTCTTTGCAGTGATTAACCAAGCTTTTGCCTCGTAAGGATTATTTTCTCGTAAACTTTGCCTTGCTCTTTCAACTAACCAAGCAGTTGAAGAGTCCATTTCTGCCATGCAAACATCTTCGGCGGCCATTTTGAATGGGCGACTTTTCACTTTACCTTACACAATACCTTGGACTATTCATTTTGCTGAAAATATCGCAGGCGCATAAAACCCTTCTCATACTTTGCGGCCACCCCGCAACGTTCCTTCTCTTCCACCAAGGACACGAGGTAAAATGGCGGACGATTTTGGCGACTTAGTAAAAAGCTACTAATGTCTCTTTCTAAGTCAGTGCCTAAGAAATAACAATATCAGAAAAATAAACTTTCTCCTTTCCTTTTTCAGATCATGCAGATCTTTGTGAAAACTCTTACGGGTAAAACCATTACCCTCGAGGTTGAACCTAGTGATTCCATCGAAAATGTAAAAACTAAAATTCAGGATAAGGAAGGTAAACTATTGTCTTGTTACAACTTAAAATTGCAGAAAAAAACATTTGTTCGTTGTTTTCCCCTAGACTGATAAGGATTTACATTTCATGTGTAAGTTAAGCTATTTCTTGAGCTAATTGAGATGACTTTCTCAAAACGTGGAAATTTTTGTTCCTGATCGAATTGAGTTACTGGGATTTTATATAGCCACATTAACACAAATCAAAGCATTACTTTGCCGTGGTGCCATTAATTGTTATGAACAAGGTGGTTTTAACATAAATCTGTATTTATGTTGAAATCCCAAAGTTTAGTTCAAAATGTCAGACTTGGGTTTGTTGAAGACTGAGATCCTCAAATAAGACACTATTAGCACTTCTGCTTCATTGTCTTAAATAATGTAATAATGATGAAACCATTGACTTTTCAGGAATTCCCCCAGATCAACAGCGTCTTATATTTGCTGGCAAGCAGCTGGAAGATGGCAGAACACTTTCTGATTACAACATCCAGAAGGGTATGTCTGCCTATTCAGTGACCAGTCATTTTGCGGTAAAAATGTCTTATGTCGTTTTGCTTAAGAAGTGAAACGAGCACTACGCATGTGTCCACCTTTTTTTCTCAGCCCTGATACAAAAAAGTGTGATTTGCACGGATATACACTCAGTCTTCAGTCACTGATCAGGCGAAAGTATTTAGGGAACTGACCCAACAGCAAAGTAACTTACAGTATGTTGTAAGACGTAGGCAAACAGGATCGATGTTGGTGAAACAACTGTTACTGGTAACCTCCTATTCATATCTGTTTGCCTATGTTCGTTTACCAGTCAATTCTTCCTGAAAAACACCTCTGTAAGGTCATACCACCCTTTGAGTAGTGTTGGGAATCAGCTGAGATTTCATTATCAATCATTGGCAACAATCAGGTTGACCTAACTGATTGATTATCAATTATAATTGGAAAATCTCTCCATAAGAATTCCATTTATTTTCCAGCAGTATGGCAGTCAAAGTAACACAGTCTTTTGATATTTTTTGACTGTATACCACTTTTATTAATTACCCTCATTTTGTGCCCTGTATTTGAACACAACAAAAACATAAAAAAGGATCATCAGATTACAGCTGCATAATTATTCCATGATAATTAATTTAACATCATCCATATTCAATTAGGGTATCACATTTCTTAAGGTTTTCAATCAGTGTTCAATTAGAATGATTATAATATTATTGCTGATGGACACAGCAACAATGAAGAATGTCTTAAGGTGGTGTTAAAGTAGTAGTACTTTTCTGTCAACAGAGTCAACTCTTCACCTTGTGTTGAGGCTGCGTGGTGGAGTTATTGAACCCAGTTTGCGTATTTTGGCTCAAAAGTACAACTGTGACAAGATGATCTGCCGAAAGTATGTGTTTGAGTTTAATGTTACTTAGAAACTTGTAAAACCGTGAACACCAAAATTACATCTGCAATGTTGTATTTCAAAGAGTCTTGATTAGTAACAATAAAACTAGCCTGTAAGGGGCAAGAGTAATCGGTCTGTGGTTGGTGCAGTTCTTTGGTGGTCATCTACATGGGCCGTGCCCGATCATGAAATTTTTCAAGTGTTCACTCAGTTTTCTGCGTTTGACAGTGAAATGGCTCTTTTGTCGTTTTTCACATAAATGGCAAAAAATTACTTAACAATAGAATATTAGCCACTTCACTAAAAATTTTTGTTACACTTTTACCAGGTGTTATGCCCGTCTTCACCCTCGTGCAGTCAACTGTCGCAAGAAGAAGTGTGGACACTGCAATAACTTGAGGCCCAAGAAGAAGCTTAAAGGCTAACTCTTCCATCCAGTTTCTCTGCCATGGAATTGTGATGATGTTCATTAATACTTGGCAATAAATAAATACTTATAAAACTTGATAATTTGACTGAGGACTTTATCTTTGCACATTTTTCCAACCCTTTGTCATTTACCATAAAACTCCTTGCCATAACACAATCCTTTGCAAATNGTTGGTGCAGTTCTTTGGTGGTCATCTACATGGGCCGTGCCCGATCATGAAATTTTTCAAGTGTTCACTCAGTTTTCTGCGTTTGACAGTGAAATGGCTCTTTTGTCGTTTTTCACATAAATGGCAAAAAATTACTTAACAATAGAATATTAGCCACTTCACTAAAAATTTTTGTTACACTTTTACCAGGTGTTATGCCCGTCTTCACCCTCGTGCAGTCAACTGTCGCAAGAAGAAGTGTGGACACTGCAATAACTTGAGGCCCAAGAAGAAGCTTAAAGGCTAACTCTTCCATCCAGTTTCTCTGCCATGGAATTGTGATGATGTTCATTAATACTTGGCAATAAATAAATACTTATAAAACTTGATAATTTGACTGAGGACTTTATCTTTGCACATTTTTCCAACCCTTTGTCATTTACCATAAAACTCCTTGCCATAACACAATCCTTTGCAAATATCTGGTTATTCAAACCATAAAGGGAACAGACCACTGATCTACCTGTGGAGGCATCTGTGTATCATGAGAAGGAGAGTAAAACCCTTCCATGGTTTTTTCAGCTATGACTGGCACCAGTTAGCAAAGATTCATCTACACCGCAGTCATTGAAGTTGCCAAGTGTAAAAGTGATTTGTTAAGAACTAACAGAGATAGAGCTCAGCAAAGGTGCAAATTCTACAGACATTTGTAATCGAGGGGGTGGGGACAAGTTCATGCTTTCCCACCATACAATTGTCTGTAAAATTTTGCAGCTTTGTCAGCATGCAAAGAAAGTACTGTCCGATAGCCTGGGGCTATCGGGCTAGTGAATTCTGTTTTTAACTTGCCCAACGGGCAAGTGATGTTTTTTGAGGAAATCAAATAACAGAAGAACTGAGAAATCAATTCTGCTCGTCAAAAAGCTTTTGGGGCTAGTTGAAATGACGTCTGGGCTAGTAAATGCTAGCTTCAGCTTGCCCGAATGGCAAGCTCTAAAAATGATTTTCTTTGTACCCTGCTTGTGGAGTCATTTGTTTGCTGGCTTTAGACATGTCACATTAAAACTTGGTAAGACTGCAAATTTTAAGATGCTCATTCCGGCAGTGTGGATGGCCATTTGTTAACTGGTCTTTATCAAAACTTGAAAAAACCCATAGGGGTCACATGTTATTATCGATAAAACGACTGATTCTTGCTGGGACATGCAACATGTATAGCTGTGTCTTGCTACTGGACGATTTTATTATTGGTATACGTGAAAGTGTTTCTCAAACATTGAAGTCTGGTCACAATCCTGTGGTGTTACCATCTAAATGGAACCTAAATTCAAAGCTTAACTTTACATGGTGACGTTGTTGCAGATTTTTGGCGAAAAGTTAATTTCCATGGGGTGAATGAGTTTCCCTATCCTGGAAAACACAAGGGAAGCTTGATTATTGTGATGGAGTATTCACAAGAAACAGTTCAAACAGACAATGAAGACAGGCACTGATTCTTGGTCTTGATAAGACAAATCTGCAGAATAAGGCCTTAAGTGCCAAATCATTGAATATCCAAACTTCCCTTTTAGTTACAAGCATAATTTAAGGCAAACTGGGTTGAGCAGTTTTAAGCAGAAGTCACAGGGCTGTCACTAAGATTTCAAGTTGCTGGGTAATTATAACAAGTGGGTGGGGAGTCCAACGGCTAAAGAATTCTTTTGCTTCTATTTTTCTTCCATTTTCCTATAGAAGTAGCCTGGGACAATGTACATAGTAACTGGGGAAAATCCCCAGCCCCCAGCCAAGAGCCCCCAGCCCCCAGCCCTTAATGACACTCCTCAGTCACTGAGAACCTTATTCCTGAGGGACGACTATTTTCCACACCGAGGAGGGGATAAGTCCCTCTTGCTATTTAACTAATACATTTTGTGATTAGCCTCGTCGCTGTCGCAGTTGCAACCCATCTCGGCCTCATGGGCTATGACTCAGAGCCAATTCGGGCTTGAGGAATAATTGTTAAATATTTCCGCAGGAAACATTGCGAAAATGTAGAAACCAGTCCCTCTCATATGGAAACTTCGTCAAAAAACCGCCTACGTTCCGTCTAGATATAAATTTAGAGACGGATAATCCGTCTAAGATGAATTATCCGTCTGTTAGCACGTCTTCAAGACGTGCTAACAGACGAATCAGCGTCAGACGAATTTTGCTCCATAATTCGTCTCAGCACCGAATTTATACTAAAGGCAAATTATCCGTCTGAGACGGATAATGCGTCTAGACGAATAATTCGTCACCAGTATAAATTCGGCCAATGCAACGAACTCTACGATTGCCTGAGAATCAAGCCTTCCTCAGGGGTTTTATAGGGGAGAGCATATTTTAAAGGACGAAGCACTGAACTCTCCTTTTTGCCTTCTCCCACTTCCCCTTAAAAACTGTCTGATATGCCCAAGCATGGTCATTAACACTGAAATTCAAACAAGAATGCTCTTAGTAGCGTTAAGTCTCGCTTGCCTGAAGCTAAGTTTTCGTTGTCAAGGGTGACAGTGCTGCCATGCATACTTCTTTTTCGTTTGGAATACAAAACGAGTGTTATATGTCATAACATAAATACTCAAAACGTGAAGATTGCAAGGAGAGACAGGCCGCTCATCTTAGCTTCAAACCGGTGTGAAACCTTCGAAAACCTTCTACATATTGATATTACTCCAGTGAGAACTCTTTCAGGGATTTTACACTCAAATAATTGAACGATGATTTTTATCAGTATCAGGAACCCATGACTCTGTCAGTATAAATATATATAGCTTCTTTGTAACTGACCAAAATAGTACGGCTCGGTACAGTATATGTTCAGCACAGGAAAAACGTGTAAGTTTAGCAGAACGTTATACAACGGACAGTTAATTTAGTTCGTGCGTTGTTGCCCACTTTAAAAGATATCAAAATCCTGTGAAAGTAATTTTCATAGCTGCTTAGTATCTAGTTATTTCCATAGCTGCTTAGTATCTGCTTTTAATATCTCCGTACAGTCTCAGAGTACAATGTGTAGAGCTTTACACAGCAGGCATTTTATCACAGTATCACTGAAATAAGGTGTTTCATTTTCCAGGAAAATTTTACTTTCTCGTCAAAACAATGACGCTGTCAGACAGTACATCAGCGAACTGGTTTATGTTATGTGAAATTTATGTACAA